GGCATCCAAAGACACTTTAGTGCGTAGTTGGAAGGATGAATGCATACACCAAAAATTTCCAGATATAGCCATTTCGAACATAATTTTATATGCAGGATAATTCACATCAGTCATCATCAGATATGATATTTTTTTCAAATCAGTTGAATAAAATAATTTCTCTATGGGTTTTAAAATAGGAGTCGTCTTAGGTAATAAGCAGTCAGCAGCATGAGCGTCTTGCCAGGAGAAAGTGTAAGCGAAAAGGGTTGCCGCAAAGAAGGGAGGGAGTTAAAATTTCAGTTAGAGTTAAAAAGTTTTGGTTTACAATTACTTTGATTGGACAAGAGGTATCTGCTTAAGCGCTAGTAACATGGAAGATCTCGAATTTGGAGAACTATGAATTTAGGGGGAGAGCATAAATAGAATCATTAATTTTGAGGTCACCAATTATTTTCTTAAGCAGCTATCATATTTCACTATATCTTACATTATATATTTATATTATGTATATATATTATGATTGAAAGATTTAACATGTAGAGATGTTTATTATGATATAACAGTTATAGAACCTAAGATGATTTATAAATTATATATAACACTGAACATTTTTTAAAGAGATCACACTGCAAGCACATTACTTTCCACAGAACGACTTTTTTTAAAATTGTAAAAACAAGTAAAAAAGCCCAAAAAATTTCAACTGGAATAATATGGAGGCTTCAAGAAAGTAAACAAAACAATTATATTTATAAAATATCTAGCCTTCAGCTTAGGTCTTTTCATATGCAGATATATAAAAACCTTGGCATAATTATGCGGTCACAAACTTCAACAGATCTATTAGGCTACACCATAAGTCAGAGTAACTTGAAAACAACAATCTAGTGAAAATTAAAAACCTGGCAGCACTGCAAAATTTTTTGGAATTTCCTTTTCCAATGTTTGCCTTTTAATAAAAATGAAATGTGTACTTGTCTTTTATACCCATGTATAAAGTTATAAAAATATTTTACCTTTTGCACAATAGGACATATATGCACTTCAAACATTACGTGCTTATTGCTAGCTTATAATATAGAAATGTTTTAAATGTCGTGATTGCATTATGTTTTGGAAAACATTATCTCCAGCACACAAAATATCTTAAACTCATCATTAAATTATTTATATGTCACTTTAAGTATGGATGAAGAACGCTGGTACTTTAATTTCTGGCATCCAAAACACTTTAGTGCGTGTTGGAAGAGAATGCATACACCAAAATTTCCAGATATAGCCATTTCGAAACATAATTTTATTGCAGGATAATTCACATCAGATCATATCAGATATGATATTTTCAATCACAGTTGAATAAAATAATTTATGTACCGGGTTTTTAAAATAGGATGCCGTCTTAGTTAAGTAAGCAGCACAGCATGGAGCGTCTTGCAGGAAAAAGTGTAAGCGAAAAGGTTGCAGCAAAGAAGGGAGGGAAAAGTTTCAGTTAGAAAAAAAGTTTTGGTTTACATTACTTGATTGGACAAGAGGTATCTGCTTAAGCGCTATGTAACATGGAAGATCTCGAATAGAACAATGAATTTAGGGGGAGAGCTAAAATTAGAATCATTAATTGAGTCACCAATTATTCTAAAGCAGCTATATATTTCACTATTACATTATATATTTTTATTATGTTATATATTATGATTGAAAGATTTTAACATGTTAGAGAGTTATTATATAACATATAGAACCTTAAAAGATGATTTATAAATTATATATACACACTGAACAGTTTTTTAAAGGATGATCACACGAAAGCATTACTTTCCAGCAGAAGCTAGAAGTAAAATGTATGGTTCAAGGTTAGATTGATTAGTATTTAATTAACAAAGGACAGCAAAAAGTATCGACATGTTTGCATGAAACTTGTATAATAGAATCCTACAAGTAATTTTACTTGTTTTTATAGCCCATACTTAAAATTTACTCTCTTTTATTTCAACTGGAATGAATATTAACTATTCATGGAGGCTTCATTTGGAGAATTCTCAGTTAAACAAAACAAATTTATAAATATCTAGCCTTCGCTTATGGTCTTTTATATGCAGAATATATATAAAACTTGCAGTAATTATGCGGTCACAACTTTCAAAGATACTATATAGGCTAACACATAAGAGTCAATGATGTAACTGAAAACAACAACATCTAGTGAAAATAAATGCAGCACCTGCAAAATTTATTGGAATTCCTTTTCTAATGTTTGCCTTATATAAAAATGAAAACTTCTGTCTTTTATTCCATGTATAAAGTTATAAAACTATTTTTCCTTTGCACAATAGGCATATATGCACTTCATGTGTTCAATTACGTGCTTATATGCTATGCTTATCTATGAATATAGAAATGTTTTTAAGGTCGTGATTGCTTATGTTTGGAAAACATTCTCCCCCACACAAATCATTTAAAAACTCATCATTAAATTATTTATATGTCATACTTAATGTAGGATGAGAACGCTGACTTTAATTTATGGCATCCAAAGACACTTATGCGTAGTTGGAAGGATGAATGATACACCAAAAATTTCCAGATATAGCCATTTCGAAACATAATTTTATTGCAGGATCCATAGATCATCATCAATATATATTTTCAATCACAGTTGAATAAAATAATTTCTATGTACATGGGTTTTAAAATAGGATGTCGTCTTAGGTAAGTTAGCAGCAGCAGCATGGAGCGTCTTGCCAGGAGAAAAGTGTAAGCGAAAAGGGTTGCAGCAAAGAAGGGAGGGAGTTAAAAGTTTCAGTTAGAGTTAAAAAAAGTTTTGGTTTACAATTACTTTGATTGGACAAGAGGTATCTGCATTAAGCGCTATGTAACATGGAAAGATCTCGAATTTGGGAGAACAGATGAATTTAGGGGGAGAGCATAAAATATAGAATCATTAATTTTGAGGTCACCAATTATTTTCTTAAAGCAGCTATCATATTTCACTATATCTTACATTATATATTTATATATATGTATAATATATTATGATTGAAAGATTTTAACATGTTAGAGATGTTTATTAATGATATAACAGTTATAGAACCTTAAAAGATGATTTATAAATTATATATACACACTGAAACAGTTTTTTTAAAGGATGATCACACTGCAAAGCACATTACTTTCCACCAGACGACTTTTTTAAAATTAAAAAAAAAAAAAAAAAAAAAAAAAAACATTATTGAACAGAAGACTGAAGTTTCATATCTGCTATTACATAAGCATCATTAATATTCTCTAAGAAGCATATAACAGCCATTAATCAAATATACATACATATATATGCATATATATACAAATAGAAACATAGTAATAGGCCTAAAATTAAAAACAACAACAACAAAAAAAAAAAAAAAACCAGTCCTGCTGCAGGATTGAAGTAAATTAAACTTAAAGCATCTAAAGTTAAAATTAAATTGGAATCAAAACAATTTCCCAACAATATTAACAATTGCAACCATGGATAAGAAGTTTAACACTGCATCAAAACAAATCAAAATTAAAATAAGAATTCATCTGCAGAATAAACCTGAAAAATAAAAATGTGAAAAGGAAAAAAATATATAAAAAATAATCTCCTTTTTCTGAAACCTTAATTCAGAACTCATCACAGGAAAATGAATTAAAGATTATTAAAGTTTCATAAAAGTCGATTAATATGTTTTGAATACATGTTTCTGCTGAATCATTTGAGATCAAAAACCGAAAACAGATTCAATTAAATTTTCATTTAAAACATTAAAATTCACTTAAAAACTGAAAAATCGAATCTCAAATGTATCCAGAATTTTCCCTATACAGGTTCAAAACACTTGGAAAAAAGAATAAAACAATTGAGTGCTGTTTAAATGACAATTTAATTTAAAAGTATATTTGTTTTGCTCTTTAATTTAATTGAGTGTTGGATTTACATTTAATGCTATTTGACATATTTTTTTTTTAAGTGGTCAATTTGGCATAATGTCATTTTTATTCTTCTTTTTCCAAGTGTTTCAAATGCATGCAGAAAAAATTCTGAATACATCTGAGATTCAATTTTGCAGTTTTAAGTGAATTTTAATGTTTTAAATGAAAATTTAATTAAATCTTTTTTCAGTTTTTGAGCTCAAATAAATCAGAAGAATGAAACATTTATTCAATACATATTAATCAACTTTTATGAAACTTGTAAAGACATCAGGTATTTTTGGGAGAAGGCAAGATGAAAAATATGCAACTCCTTCACCAGGAACCGAACCGTGGACCTCTCAATTATGCACTGAGTGTGCAGACCACTACACCACGAAAGCTTGCTAAGAAGGAGGGAGAAATACCTTGTATACTCCCCCTTTTAAAGAGTGACTGGGGTTTTTAGGGGGCCCAATCCCCAAATCCTGGGTGAGGAGAATCATCATTCAACCTCCTTTTAGTTCGGGCACCACTGTAGAGACATTAGGATTTTTTTGAGAAGCAGGAGAAATGAAAAATATGCAATGCCTTCACCGGGTATTGAAGTGTGGACCTCTCAATTACACGCTGAGTGTGCAGACCATTACACTACGAAGGCTCGCTAAGAAGGCGGGTAAAATACCTTATAAACTTTTAATTCATTTTCTCCAGATCAGTTCTGAATTAGGGTTTCAGAAAAAGGAGATTAATTTTTATATGCTTTTTTCCCATTTTTATTATCCGGGTTTATTTCAATGATAAATTTTTTATTTTATTTTTGATACAGTATTAAACCTCTTATTAATATTGTTAGGGAATTGGCTTGTTTTGATTCTAATTTAATTTTAACTTTAGATGCTTTAAGTTTATATATATATATATATATCAGAAATATTAAGTACATTACAGTTTCCAAGACAGGAAGGGAATAAACCCAAATTAGAAGGAAGATGATAAAGGCTGCTACAAATTTTAATTAAAGATTTATTTTATGTACATACAAACTGTATAATGGAAATAATATAGAAAAAATTAAATTTACTAACCCAAAGAACCTTCTATACCTCTTAGAAGGTCATTAGTTTTGAAAATAAGTAGCATTTCTCGAGGCACTTTACTTAAAACTGTGGTAATCTCTGGGAGATAATTCGCTGCATTATCCCTAATTTCTTTTTTCTAAAAAAATTACAAATGTGAAATAATAAATATTCTGCACATGCACGTAATCACAAATTATAAAAATCTGAAATTTAAGAAGCATTTTCCCATAGTTCATTACTATAAACCAAACAACAAACACACAGTTAGCTTTAAAATCCTACTAGAAGCTTTTCACATCTAATTTCTTTGTACTAAGACCTTTTTGAACTAATTTATTTTAACATAATTTTATTTATTTAATTTCATCTTGTTATAAGATATAATATGTTGATAAAATATTACACCAGTCATACATACATCAATATACAATGTAAGAGAATTATCTTTTTTAGTTACAAATACAGAAACTCATTTTTCTCTGGCTTATAATTTACTTAACATAAATATCAATCTAGTCTTATCGATTACCAGTTAAAGTTATAAAATCCTATTCACGAACATACAAATGCATATGTGACTAAGAAAATGAAAAATAAAGCAAAACAGTACTACCTTACACCCAATTAATCCATTCAAATGAACTGTCCATAGTTCCTCCCTCCCCCACAGTAACAATGTGATTTAATACAAAAATGATTGTGTGTGATTTAATACAAAAATTACCTTTATTACAGTGTCTTTCTTAAATTTAGAAAAATATTAGGCTTTTGCAGCAAATACTGCAATAATTAAACTAGATTATTAATCAGGAAATTCAGGTCCATTAGAAAAATATATATACCCTGTAAACTAGTTTTGAAGTTTTTTGGCATCCAGATGTTAGCTAGTCATTAGGTGAGCTTGCGGCAGTACCTAAGCACTCAGGTTTGGATTCTGGAGAAGGCAAGGTTGTAACTGTCCATCCCTTCATAGGAGGCAATGGTGGCTGCCTATTAGGTGCTCCCACAATAAAATGATCACTTTTGGCCTTAGGAGTGACCAATGCTGAATAAGTAAGTGCCCACAAGTTTTGAAACTGATAAGAATTATCTTTACAATATATAGTATGGTGCTTGCTTAATATATGTGGGCACTCTCATATCGCTGTAATATGTGATATATGAGGAATAATAGTGAATCAGAATTGCCTAGTGAGATTTTGAAAGACATCATACAACACAGGGAATTATTTATGCTGGAGGTCCTTCATCATGAAATTACAGTAGCATGTGCAGCAATCTCTGTCTACACATTGACCAAGACTGTTCAAGCAACTGCTCACCAGTGTGTTATATGTCTAACTGCTAATGGCCAGCACTCTGATACTTTCAGCTCTCTTGTGCAGGTGTATTAATTTTTCTTTGACTTAAAATTACTTAACACATAAAATACTTATCTATTCTTATTGATTACCAGTTAAAGTTATAAAATTCCTACCTATGATATGTATGATTATATTAACCTATAATTAAGTTCATTACGAACACACAAAAAAGAATTATCTTTCATTAAAGTATGTACATGTTTCTGATGGATCCTGTAAATATGCTTAAAACTATTATTTGCAGATGGAATATGGTTGAAATATGGAACATAAAATCTTGAACTCGAATTAAAAATACCAAAATACTTTTTTCACAAATTTTATATTACAGATAATTTTACACTGTAATGTCATTTTATCAAAATTCATTTAGATAAGAAGTTTAATATTATATAATATCTCTAAATTATAATTATAACTTTAAGTGATTAAAGTTTAAAAAACCCTCGACAGTAAGGAAGTACAGCGAGATGCTATTCCGTGTTGACACTGCTACCAAGGAAAAATGTCGAACTGAGTTTCGGCACGAAAAAGGTAATGTTCCATCAAGATAATGCAAGACCACATGTGTCTGTATTCACTGGCCGGACTCTGTATGGACTCCAATGGGATCTTTTGCCGCACCCAGCATATAGGCCCTTTGGACTTCTACCTTTTTTCACACCTGCAGCTACAATTTGCTGATGCTATCTTCCATTCTGCAGAGGACATCCAAAATGAGGTTGACCTGTTTTTGGACACAGGGTCAACAAATTTCTGGGTCAAAGGCTTTGAAAAACTACCAAAACATTGGTAGAAAATCATAGATGTAGGTGGTGATTACTAGCTGCACTAAAGATACTGTTTTCATGTTTTTCCCTAACTTTATTAATAATGTTTTTTGGAGGAAAACTTTCATTACAACAAGATATATGTGTGTGTGTGAGAGAGAGTGTTTGTAAGCAGTTAATAAACACAAAGTAAAAAAAAAAAAAAAAAAAAAAAACATCCAACTGTGCACTGAAAGCAGCAACAAGTAGTGGTAATAATGAAAATAAATTAATAATATTTTTAAAACACATCCCATGTTTAGTTCAAAACAAACCATTTAAAAAAAATGAAAAACAAGAAGTACGGAGGCAAACTGATAGATGAAATAAATGCCAAAACCAAAAATGAAAAGGGAAAACAGTTTACACCTTTTGCTGCATTGCCATCAGGGTTGCTGCAACAAAAGAATTAAATACAGTACAAAGTCCGAAATTCAGATGTCCATCATCCGGAATGATCTAAAATCCAAACCTCAAAGCCAGAAAGATTTTTTTGTGTGCTTTACAAATGTGCATTTGATTTTTCCTTCTATAATAAAACATACAGAGATTTTTACTTAAAAATTCTGATTCTAAATTTCACTTAAGCAGTAAATAAAATATCTCGTTATGGAAAAACAATTATGCAAGCATAAATTTGTGAGATTAATATTTGGCTCCGTAGCTGAGTGTCTGCTTGGCATACATCTCAAACCGAAACATACACCTATTTTATATCCCTGACGCCGATCTGGCGAGACATTATTTATTATACTTTGCTTTCATCATGGTGTGTTTATCAAAACATGACAGCTTCAGTAATAACTCATGCAGTGATGTCTAAATTTTTTTTATATTAGTTATTGAATAACAAGAGTATGGCAACCTTTTATACTTTTAGCACTTGGGGATGATTATAGATTTTTAAATGCTCTAAGAAATGTTGACGAGGAATAATTCAACATAAATTTCTTTTCAAGCACCAAGTGGCAAAATTAAGGGATGAGAAGTTTTTTATTATGCAAATTTTTCGTATTCTCAACACAGCAATTACAGAAACTTTGTAAGCAACTTAAACAACTTACATTGAAAGAAATGTTTAATAAAGTAAACAAATAGATATTAAGCTTTTTATTTTGTAAATCTTGATACCCTTTAGATAATAATTGCTCTTTATTTCATAAATTACAATTTCATATTTTTAATTGTATAATGCTATCTTACCAGATATAAATTGATCATCTAATATCCGGAAAAATCCCAAATCCGGAATCACCGAAGTCCCGACAAGTCCGGATTTCCAACTTTGTACTGTATATGTATATATGTGCAAGTTTGTATATATATATATATATATATATTATGTACTTGTTTGTGTGTGTGAGAGATAACTCTGTGTAGATGTTTTGAGGATTAGAAGATAGCATAGATCAGGGGTGGCCAACAAGGTCGATCACGAAGCTAATTTTGGTGAATCGACGATCACTCCCAATGACTGGAGTGGAATTCCATATACTTTGAAGCGATTGTAGAAGACAAAACATTTTAGCGATTATTTAATGCATTCTGGGAATTTGCCGAGGTCATAAATTCTTAGAATTCTGACAGTCTGACACTGTGCTCTCCGCCCATCTAGCACAATACATTTGACTTATGTTTTACACTTGTCACCAAAACAACCCTAACAATTGCATTCATGCATTGCGTATGAATGCAAATATTAGGGCTCGACTCATCAAAGAACATAGTCAATTAGCTTGAATATTTGGTAGTGTCATTCAGTAGCTTCTTTTCTTTTGTATTAACAGTATTATTATTAATCAATATTATTTATCCTCACAGACCACTTTGGGTTTCAATTTTTCTTCTGTTTAAAATGTAAGTACCTTTTCTTTGCTTTAATTGAAATTGCTTTTCTTACATATCTATTTACTTGATAAGTGAGCATTCTCGGCAACAGATCTCTAAACTGCGGTTATTACACTGAGAGAAAAATAAGGGAAAGTATTACAACTATATTAGGAATAACAGTAATTCTACAACTATATTAGGAATAACAGTAATTCTATTTAAATTAAGATTTCAGTATTTCTTCTTCTTCAATGGCCAGACAGCCCAGGATGGGCCCTTGCCTTCCTCAGAATCGAATTCCAAGCTCTTCTATCCCTGGCCATGGGCATCCACTTGGTTATTTTTAAAATTCTTAAGTCTGTTTCCAAACAGTCAAGCCACCTAAGTTTAGGTCTCCCTCTTTTTCGGGTGCCGAATGGTCTGGCCGAGAAGATCTTTTTAGTTACTCGATTTTCATCCATTCTGCATAGGTGTCCTGCCCATTTAATTCTCTGAATCCTTATATATTTTACTATATCTATTTCTTTAAAGGATTTATAATGTTCAGAGTTAGTTCTTCTTCTCCAGATATTGTTACATTTTATGCCACTAAAAATACTTCTCAAAATTCTTCTTTCAATGACAGAAATAATACTTTCAGCTTTTTCTGTCGTCGCCCAGGTCTCAGCAGAGTATGTAAGAATGGGTCTGATTAAGCTTTTGTAAATTAAAATCTTTGTTTTTATGCTAATGAACTTACAACTTCAAGTATTTTTTAGACTGAAAACACATCGGTTAGCATCTGTGACTCTACTACAGACCTCAGGTATTAAATCATTGAGAGTATTAACTTCGGATCCTAAATATTTAAATTTGCTCACAGTTTCAAATTTGTAATTCCTAATTTCATTGTTTTTTCTGTTATTACCACATGGCATGTATTTAGTTTTATTTTGGTTGACAGCTAGATGCATTTTGCTGGCTGCAGCCTCTAGAAATATAAAAGCCTCTCTAAGTGACTCGGGAGTGCGTGCGACTATGTCTTTATTGTCAACAAACGCAAAAATCTGAAAAGACTTGTTAAAGATAATTCCACGAGTATTAATGTTGGAGTCTTTTATGATTTTTTGGAAAGCAAAGTTAAAAAGCAAGCAAGCCAGTGCATCACCCTGTGATTTCAGTATTTAAACCGTAATAAATATATTATAACTTTAACATAGTTCTTGTAAATTTTAATATATCTCTGTTAGCTTTTAATACACTTGCATTGCTGTGTCCGATCATAGTATGCACTACTGTTATCATTTCTCTCAATGTAAGAGCGATAATAGCCACAGTTCATGAGTTTTTAATTTTTTAGAAAAATATTTAATTCAATATTTATTCTTTAAATTGTTGTATTTCTTTGCATTCTCATACACCCATGAACATGAGTAGTAAACCGAAGAAATTGAAAATTTATCACTTCAATGAAGAAGGAGAACTCGATTAGTTTTTAAATGTTGAATGATAAATGTTGTTGTTAAATATGCCTTACCTCAGTAGCTATTGCTAAAAAGGGTAACCTGCAGAGACATTTTTTTAGCTTTTATTATTTTTTTAGATGTTTTTTACATAACAAGTATCAAACTGATTAACCCTAAATTCTGAACTGAGAAAATATAAAGTTAGGGATCTTAAAACTCAATTAACAAATCAACAAAGCGTTTTTAAAAAGCCAAGGTTGAAGTCACAAGCAGTAACTACTGCATCATTCAGTCAGCTATCTCTTAGCAAATAAATGTAAGCCATTTTCTGGCACTGAATTTGGGAAGGAAATTTTTTTGGAATGTCAGATTCACTTTTTAATGATTTTAAGAACAAGAGTGAAATTGTTGCTGCAACTCAAAATCTACAATTGTCATGAAACACAGTGATGCGATGAATTAAAAGGATGAGTGGGAATGTAAAAGAGCAGTTATATACTGATATTAATAGATGTTCTTATTTTTCCTTTCAGTGTGATGAGTCAACAGAGGTAAGTGATACGGCACAATTGCTTGTTTTTGTTCATATGGTTTTCAAGGATTTTATATCTAAAGAAGAATTGCTGGGTGTGATTTTTTTGAAGGAAAGGACTAGAGGTGTAGACATATTTAAGCCTTTAAAAACTTGCTCAATAATTTGAAAGTACCACTTTTTAAATTAGTCTCAATAACAACGGATAGCGCAGCTGCAATGATAGGTAGCATAAATGGATTTATAGCCCTAATGTAAAAAAGATGAGTTTCCTGCCTTTATAAGCTATCACTGCAAACTTCACCAGAAAGTGTTAGCTAGCAAGAGACTAAACACAAAACAGATAATGGACATAGACATAGCATTTAAAATTGTTAATTCAATTCGAGGAAGTTCCCTCAAACAACATTCCTTCCAGCTGCAGCTCGATGAAGGCCAAGCTGAATTATTACTACAGACCAATGTCAGGTAGCTAAGCAGAGGTAAATTTTTGCAGTGATTTCTAGCCTGAAATTATAGATTTTCTTCACGAACAAGATGGAAACTGTGAAAATTTAAATGATGAAACTTGGCTTAGTAACTTAGCATTTTTTACCGATTTTACTTCAATATTAAATCATTTAAATTTAGAATTACAAGGTAAAAATAAAACAGTAATTGATATGATCAGCTGCATAGACGAATAACAAAAAATTATTTTGCTAATAGAAGATCTGCAACAAAATAATCTGAATCATTTTCCAAATATAGTGGATAAACTACAAAAACATAAAAATATTAATTATAAGATTGACAAATACGTTGCGGAAATCCAAAAAGTAATTCAAGATTTTGAGATAAGACTCCAGGATTTTGAAAAAATTAAAGAAATTGTGGAATTCATATCTTTTTCTTTTAAAAAAGATTTAAGTGTGAAACGCATTGGCCAAAAAATTTCAGACATATTTTGTATTGATCAAAAGACATTAGAAAATAAAATTCTAATTTTACAAACTGACGTAATCTTACAAACACGAAAATTTGAAAAAGAATTTTGGAAATATGTCAACCGAGAAAAATATCCCAGTATCACCAAATGTAGCAAATATGTCTATTCTTGTTTCAAATCTACATACCTATGCGAATCGTCATTTCCATACTTGAAACTAACAAAAACTAAACAACGTTCTGTCCTGAATGATTCTTATACTGAAGACTCACTATCTTTATCAGATATAGACCTAATTATGATTCCTTAGTTAGGAAGATGCAAACTCAGTCTTCCCATTGACGTTAAGGCTACAAGTAAATACTAAATCTGTCTTTATCTGTAGCTATTTTGAATTAATAAATATTGCTATTAATTATCCATGTTCTTTTTTTTTTCTTTGACATGAGTTTTTGGGGTCTTTAAATAATTATTGTTGTTATTTTTTACATAGGTAGAAAAACCTTATATCTATATTTCAGTATAAGGTATGCTCAGTGAGCTATTGATAGATTAGCAGAAGGTAAGCCATGTTATTCTTCCATGATAAATTCTCTTGGCCCAAAAAATGCAAAAGTGATATATTGAAATCAAATTATCAGCCATACTGTGCATTTTTATAACAACTTTTTTATATTAACAAACAAATAGTACAACCACTTATAAAATAGCAGTAGATAAAAAAAAATAGATAGGCAGTAGATAAAAAAATTAAATTGCATTTTCAGTTAGTAAAAATCTATCTTGAAAAAGTGTTAGAAAATCGAATTTTTTAGTACCACATGTACGGAATGCTGCTATTAAAAGTTGGGTCTGGAAATTATTTTCTTCATGAGCCTATCAAAAACTTAATAAATCATTTAAAAAACTAAAAAAATGTTTTGAAAATATATTTTACTTATCTATTCATACTTCGCTGGAATGCACCTTATACTGATACACAGTGTATAAACATTGTATGTATTTTACACCCTTCTCCCCCCTTAGACTACAACTATGACAACAAGTCGATCATGACACACTTTTAAGATAAAAACTAGATCTTATATACAAAAAAGTTGGCCACCCCTGGCATAGATAAATAAAATGACATAATTATGAAGAAGAAACTTTAAGATGTTGGCATAGATAACAAGACACAATTTTATTTCTTGATAACTAATTCCGAAGACACATAATCCCTTTTACACATCATTATGTGTGCAACAGCATGCTACAATTTTTCGTAGCATATCACATTTTTCCAGACAATGGACAACATTAAGAACAAGGTGATGCAACAGCCCATCTTAGCATAGTGAAGGGAAAGTAGGCAAATGTAATGTGCATTTCAGCAGCATTTCTATTTATAGAGTTGGCTTCTTTATTTAAATTTTAAACTGCAATTAGATAAGTGCTTACTGCATTGCTTATTAATATAAGGTGACATAATGTTGATTAGTTTTCCAGATGATACACTTTAGACTCAAGAAAGGGGATGTAGCCAAATTAAAATGATCAATTAAAAGGACTATTGCTAAATTAAAGTTAGTAGTTGTCTTTCATATTATATATATATATTAAATTCTTTGTTGCATTTATATGATTAGTTGAAATTTATTAATTATGAATTTCAATTTCTGGTTTTTGTGAAATATTACTTCTAAATTTCTTAATTTATGTCTTTAATAATAACTTTTCTGCAGCTTAATGCATGAAAATATTAAACATGTTTATATTTTGTTTTCAAAAGAATTGTTTTGTAATTATATATATATATGTACACACACACAATTTTACCCTCAACATTTTCTTCTGTTATATATTTGCAAAGATTTTTGCAACATAGCATGTATTTGACTGTTCATAAATTTTAATTTTCTTTGGAAGTTAATTTTTTAGATGATTATTTTAGCCACATTAATTCATGTTTCCTTGTTTTGTATTTCACTGTACATATATTTATTATTCATGTAGTAAACCAGTCCTTTTTTAAATTAAGAATCAATTTTTCAAATAGAAATATCCATTTTAACCTTGCATGAAATATAATAGATATTTGAATGCTAAGAATTATTAATATGTAACTACTTTTACAAATAAACTTACAAATCAAAATAAGTATGTTCCAATAAGAAGCAACATTTCCTACAAAACAAAATAATCTGTTTTATTTCATAAATGTGAAAAACAAAAACATGGAAGACTAAACTGTGCATACCTCTTCAGTTGTAGGTTTATGTTTTTCAATCCCCTTAGTTACAGCTGTCCATGAACGAGCTGTAATCATACAAGCAAGAAGAGCATATAATTCTCCAACACCAAGTTTATGCCCATAGTGTTCAACTCCTTTCACATCAGCTTTCATCAAAGCTAACCACATATTACAGTAATCTATCCTGAATTGATCTGTCAAATTCTGTTTGAAAAATTAAAACAATAATAATTAGAATATATTCTAATACACTTTGGTAGCACAAATTTAAAGGAAAATTGCTGACAAGTTCTGCATATTTTTAGTACATTTAATTTTCATTAATATTTATATACATGATACACGGGCAAAAATATTTAAATTACTATGATACATAAATTTTGCAATAAAAATTTTCTCAACCTCAACACTGAAAATGGGATAATCATAATAACCTTACACAAATTATTGCTGAGAATCTACTGTTACTACTCCACTTTATATATATTTTGCTTGCAGAGAAATATGTCCTCATAAAATATTGTATATAGTTTTGAACTGTTATGAGCTACAAATCTTCATTTCACAGTTTTATAAGCATATTTTCATTTTAAGTTCCTGTATGTGTACATTAAAAACATGTTAATAGCTTTATTAAAATTGATGATTCTTGGCAATGAGATGCACTAAATTCAATTTAGTGCACTTTGATGCACTATTAGATTTAGTGCATACTGGTGACTTTCAGCAGTACCTTTTGAAACTTGATAAGAGCTGGAGTTTAGCCTATTAAAATGTATGCTGAACTGCACAATAAAGAAAAGGCTTGTTGATGTTTAGACTTTACTCATGTCATTTAAAAATTCAGTCATCAATATTATTTGTCAAGCAACGGGAATTAAAACTCTAAGCAATCTTATTATGGAGGGTCCATCAAAAATATTTCTAACCTAGTGAGATCATGGTGAAAGTAATGCAACAGTTTGACTTGCCAAAATTCAAGTATAGACAAAAAAGGCTAAAATGATTTTGTAATCAAAATTTTTATAAAATATTATAATCTAGATAGTATATTCTTTCTATTCCAACTCTAATGAATTAATTATTTCATTTAATTTACTTATAATTATATTCTTCCTATTATGCTTTATAGGTTTTGCCTGCATGAAAATGTTACACAGGCGAAATGGAAGTTTTTTTTTTTTTTTTTTGGCTTATATGAATGAATATTAATAATTCTTCTAAAATGGCTGATTTTAATTTTAAAGCCTATGCATGACCATACCAAAAACATATAGAAAATAATGACCCTAAGATGTTAATTTAGTCAATTTTACATATTACTAGTCAAAAAATACTTGAGGGGCTTTAAGGCGACCAGTTAAAAAAACACTTAAAATTAATAGAAAAGTTTTTAGTGCTGGTGTTAAAAAGAAGATTCTTTATGCTTACGTTACTCAAAAAAGACAATAGCTGAGCCCAAAAGAGAAGCCCAACCTTGCTTAAAAACAATGTCCAAATAATATTTTCTTGTTACAGTGACATAGGGAAGGTGTGATTTATTTTAAACTATTAGAAAAGAATGAAAACATTAATCTACACATCTGATGTCATTCGATCAATGAGCAAAATTGAAATGTTTTTTAATCATCAAATGACCTATATTAATCAACACACCTGATATAATTTTTTTAATTAAGTTAACAATCAATTACACACTGCATTTTTCTTTGATTTTCTTTTTAAGTTATTGAAGTATTTTCTTATGTTTGTTGACAAAAACTCTCATGTGTCTAAAATGCAAAAAATGAATATTTCGATTCACAGTATTCCCCCTTATAGCAAAATTAAGACTTCTTAAAAAAATGATTGAAAAGTTACTTGAAAGATGGGCAGATATATACTTAATTAAATTTATGCATTTAATTATTTCCCTCAAACCTGCATTACTTCTTTATTAAATTAATACTTGCAATATCTGTGTCTTATCATGGCTATTCTCATTGACATCTAATTGAGAAAACCCAAGTGATGCAAAATAACACATATGAGGGACATGAAAATTATATTCAATGATAACTCCATTGTATCACGTGTTTCAATGAATTTTACGGTGGCTACAGTTCATAGTAAAGTGCCAGCTGTGATACAAAATGCTTACTTTTAGAATAAACTACTAGGTGAATTACTAATGCAATCATTCCTACTGGATGTTCCTAGAGGTAAATCTATTCTTAATATTTCTGACAAAAAAATAATCTCATTTGTGGGCGAAAAAGTTAAACTGACACACTTTCCCATTCTAACAGGCATTTACAGATTACACATAGAAAACAGATATGTGTATGATGTAGGTGTATGACATTCATAAAGATGATAGTTAATTATCATTCCAAATGTGTAAAATAAAGAGATTTCTAAAACTAAACTAGCTCAGTGCAGGGAGATGTTCATTAAAAAAAGAAATATTTACACATTTAAACAACAAAGTATTTTCAGATACCTTTCAAACAGCATATAAGATATGTATCACATAAAGCATAACAAGAATAGTTCAAAGCTTCCTGAGTATATTTCAAACTATCTTAGTCAATGAGTAACATGTCTTAGAATATTAGATAGAATTAAAAAAATATGTCATAATTTGCTTAATTTCCAAAAAGTTTTAAAATCTTATAAAATGAGAAATAATTAGTTTATTTGTTTAATCTGCTCAAAACACTTTGCAGTTTCACGTTAATATTTTTATAAAATGAATATTACAATTAATTGCACTACTTTGTGAACTAGTGATCATAATGCTTCCCCGTTTCTATTAACTTGTATATTTACATAGTAATCAATTTTCACTATAAATGTAAAAAGAAATAAATTATAAAGTACATAACTGTATAGAGCCCATGATCTAGCAGAACTACTTTCACTTCATTAGAAGCTTCATCTTTTTGCACAAGAATATTACCAGGATGAGGATCACAATGCACATAGCCTTGCACAAAAATCATCTGGCTGTATAATTCTCCAAGTTTCTTGGATACTTCTGCTGCAGATATATTATTCCTTCTAATGTAATCATTATCATCCACCTGGCCACCACTACAATATTCCATTGTAAGTACACGTGATGTGGATAGATCCCAATAAATGCGAGGTACCTAGAATTTCAAATACATACACACAGTTTTTTATTACCTATTAAAGAAATTTTTTCCCTTGATATCTGAAAAAAAAAATTTAAACTTAATAAGAGAAAAAAATAGTAAAACATATAATGTAAGAACAAATTGTAGGTTGGCTTGTTGATTTAATCAGGAATTTCCAATTATTTCCTGCATCGACCTTTTATTTTAAAGAAATGGTTTTCTTCATTGATACCTTTATATTTTCACAACAGAGATGGTATACAATATAACCATGATATAAAATTGAAGATTAATAGCTTTAAAATACCAACCAGATTAAGAATATGAACAAATGTTTTGAGAAAATGTTTTATTAGATTTATGCTTAACTACTTTTTTCATTATTATATACTTTTTTAATTTTACAAATAGAAACAATTTTTCAGAAACAAAATCATAGATTTGAATTGCATACAAGTTTGATTTTAATTGATTTAATGATGGCATTTAATGTATTCTTGCAATTTTTTAAATATTTGCCATAAAATTGCTTAATTTAACTTTTAAATCTCCACGTTAAAAAATATTCAAACTGTTTCTTGTTTTCCATTCTGGTACTGCATTCTTCATATTATTTTGCTTGTGTTTTCTTGTGTTCCTGCATTTTAATTTTTTAGTGCACTTGCATAAAAGTTTTATATATTAAAAAATTATATTGATTTAAAAATATATTAAGACTTTGTTGCATCATGTCCACTCTAGTAGAAAAAAATTTAAATTTGTTTATTCTTCTGTAAATGCCTTAACAAATTCCATTCCTGTGTTTATTCATTCTATATTATTAGAACTTTCAACTGTCGATCATAGATGGCTGTATAGCATCACTAAATAAAGCATTGCTATTTGGAAAATGGCTGTTACTTCTGTTTCCAAGTTAGTACAATTTCTCATAGTAAACATTATATAATATATTGCTTACATTTTCTTATACTGCCATCTTTTATTCATAATTAGTAATTTTAGACATTTTATTTTAAATGTCAGTTTGAGAAAATTGTGTAGTGGGTAGAGTGAATTGAAACCCAAATGTACAGCTTATCAAGCCAAAACACCACTGGATATGTTTATGTTTGGCAAGGAATTTCTAGAACATTTGACATTTGAATCCAATAGGTACAGGTTACAAAATCGTAGCAAAATGAATTCAATCACAATTGACGAATGAAGGTATTTTGAGGGATCTGTATGTACATGTCATTTGTAGATTTACTTATTAGAAGATGGTAATGATCACTGCAAGCAAAGTATGAAATGATTTCAAATGCAATGACCGTAAATTGTTGGGAAGAGATTTGTATGCATGTATGTATATGCATGCTGTCCACTGTAATGAAAAAACCGTAGCAATTATTTAAAACGAAATTTAAATAAAATTAATTTTTTAAATTATTATTAAGGTTATTTTAGGTAGAAAAAATACAAACATTTTCGTTTAACTTCTCTAGATTATTTGTATGCAACAAAGGGTTAAATAATTTTGTGCACTTCCCCCTTACAGTTATTTTACATAATTTTTTCTTTATTACATGATATAGCTTTAAATGAATAAACAATTAAATGTCTATTTTATTATTATTATTTGTAATTAATGGGATCTTGGTTATGCTGATCAACTGCCCATGCATATTTAGCTATCAACCTCCAATTTATTTCTTGATCACCATTGACCCCCTTTAAAATTTTATTGGCCTTGAAACATTTCACAATGCAATTTACAAATAACATTACTAATCTACTGAAGGAGATTTCTGAATTGATTTATACATCTTGGAATACTTGCCAATGAATTTTAACAAAAGATTTGAACAAAAAATACACAGCTGTAACATTAGGGCCTCAATTGTTCACAGATCAGAAAATTAATGCATTATTGAGTGTCATGAATACAAGAATCAACACTGAAATGATGGACACTTTCTAAAGTTATAACAGGGAGTAGGAGTTAGTGCTATGTTTATGACCCAGAAATAAAACAACAATTAAGCCAATGGAAAAATAGAGTCACCAAGATTAAAAAGAAAAAAAGAGCAACAGAAGTTAAATCATGTTTGAAGGTATTTATTTATTCTGCCTGGATAGAAGATGAATTAGTATTTTTATTTTGAGATATCGGGATGATTAGGCATAAGTGTGCAATTAAAACTGCTCTGAGTGGGAGAGTGGTGACTGGTTTTTGAATTCGAACAATACTGTCAACATACACACTTACTGAGTCCAACATTTTTTTTTTTTTTTTTTTTTGATAACTCTTACATGCCTATGGTCTGATCTTGCTCAGTACAATATTTCTTTGTTTCTGTATATGAAAAAGGAGCTTAAATGTCCTCTTTTTTGGGTGGGGGTGGGGAGGGGTACTATGGAGGAAGTCATAGAAAAATGCTATATGCTTTGGATGTCTTCCTTTAGCAATGGCACAGCTGCAGAGGCAGAACTGTTGGAACAAGTGCATTCATTTACACAGTGATTACTGGGAAGGAGACTAAAATTTCAGTAAATAAAAAAATATTAATTTTTACTTTTTTGCATTTAGATTATTTCTGGGTACTCCTTAATATTGCACACTTATGATTATGCATTTAATATACTAAATGAATATGTAATATACATACACACACACATATATATATATTTATTATATTCATTTAATTGAATCTGAATCATTTTTTTTACAGTAAAGTGTAATAATACATATTTTAAAACACTAATTTAATTTACTTTTAAATTTTCCCTTCCCCCAAAATTACAATTAAAGAAATATTTAAAAATAAAAATAATAATATTTGACATAATGTATTATGTATTAGAATTCAAATAAAATATAACAACATGCTGTATGTTTTTGAAAACAATAAAACTAAATATATGTTAAAATTTCACATAAAAGTACACAGCTTTTTTGGGGTATTTTAGCAAGTATAGTTTTAAGATATATTATGCAGAATTTAAGACTGCAGATATGGAGTTGCTATTCATTTTATAAAAGTTATAAAATTTACTGTTTAATACTTTCTATTTTACATATATTTCCTCTCAGTTTTATCAGTATTAATTAACATGGACAATAGCAGAGAATTTTTGAAAACAATAAAATCAAAAAATTATATATATTAATAATAAAACATGTCATACATTACGAAAATACAGGCATGCATGTATAATAAAAACTGCTTAACATAATACATAAACATATTGCTTAACATACTAAGCTAACTATTAAATTACTAAGTATTCATAAAGAATAATTTAACCAAACAGTACAGAAAAAAGAAGGTAACACAACATTTGAATTCTGTTGGATAAAACAGATGTTTTCATGCTTGAAAGACCTTTTTTCATTGAACCATTTATATAAATTTGGCATGAAGCTATTATATTTACTTTGATAATTAAAATACTGTCTAAAAACTCAATAAAGTAAAAGGCTATTGAATTAATAATTAAAGCTGAATGCAAAATCACAAATCAATGTTACCAATTTTATTTGCTGAACATACATGTAAATTTTGGTACTTATGTATAATCTCATCAACTATGAAGCTATTGTGAAGCAGTATACTTTAGTGTCAATTATGATAAACATAACGTAACAGCACATTCAAAACATCTGTGCTTTCTTTTGATGAAACCTTGATTCATTCTCAATAAGTCCACTTTTGTTTTTATGAGTAAGGATATAAATATTAACTTTTATTGTTATACTTTTGGCCTTGCATTTTGAAAGAAATGATTAAAGTTTGAGACCTTTATTCAAGAGAACAGCAAACACTGGATTAAAGTTATGTGACCTTGCCTTTGGAAAAATATGTATTAAGAGGCACGATACGGTCAGCTGATTATGAGGAGGCAAAACGGTAAGAGATTAGAAGAAATTTTCAAGAAAATTTGTACTCAAAGTGTTCTAAAAGAGCTTTTGGTAAAACTAGAAAGCTTTAAAAAAAAAAAAAAAAAAAAAAAAAAAAAAAAAACAGAAATTGTCGAAAGCCTAGCAAAATTGAAGCAGGTTGAGTATTCATGGAGTTTATGAAATAAGGAGGTGTCAGTTCCTTCAGAATTCTGAAGAAATGGTTGGAAAGCCTAGCATAAATGAAGCAGATCAAATACTGCTTGTTTAATTAAATAAGCAGATGTCAGTTTTTTCAGAATTCTGCAGGAATAATTGGCAAAATTTTGGCAGGATCTCTGTCCATTTTTATTGTTTGATGGGAGCCAACTTTCATGGTCAGTCGGATAATACGCAATTACCCAATTTTTTTTCTGATATCACAAAAATGTTTATTACACCAGATCAGCGAAAATAAAAGATTTTTTATATTTCAATTTTTATAATTTACTTCATAATTTTACCTTGAGCCAAGTAAGAGATGAAAACATTTTACCAACTCTCTCTGCATTGTGACCCTCATGAATAAAATCCAATTCTAATGGCAAGTTTCTTTTTGTTTCTTCAGCAAGCCACATAAACGTGAATTCAGGAAACAGCCAGGCTACAATATTGACAAGGAGCTAAAGTTAAATGAAAAATTAAAATGAATTCAGAAATTAATTTTGAAAACAAAAGAGTACCTGTAAATAAGTTATTTTGTTTTCTACCTCAAAAGGTTTTTTGATGTAGAAAACAAACTAACTATTGAATCCAAAGACGTAAATGTGAAACAAAATTTTTAGTAATTTGTTGACAAGTCAATTTGCAACAACATTTTCAGCACAATAGATGTTCACGTTAATAATAAGGTAAATTAACAGACATATAAATTAAAAATTTTAATTTTATGAAACGGGAATAACATATGCATAAATCATGGAAAGAAGGTTTTTCAAGTTTGAAAGTTAATTTAATCTGTGTATTGTAACTTAGTAGACATAAGCTGTTCATAAAACGTTAAAAATGAAAAAGCTTTTGAGGGTTATTAACCTAAAGGGGAGATGCACCTAAAAGAATTTTTAGGGAAACTGGTTTACTTTTGCATAGCCCATTCAGTCAGAAGAAACTAAAACCCAGATGAACAATATAGGAAATAATAAAAAATATTTATTTATTTATTATAAACATAAATAATAAATAAATATTTATAATAAAATAAAATAGAAATAAAAAGGGAATAAAAAAATAAAATAATAAAAAAAAAAGAGTATGTGAACGCTAACACATAAGGATTTTCTAAAGTTCTTGATTTTATGCAATATTTAGACATTATTTAGTAACCATTAAATGGACAAGAATTATTCAAATATAAATAGCAAACCTATAATGTATATTTTTATGCATCTCAAAATATTATTAACTGCTCAATAGTTTTAGTTCACAGATACTCATAAAAACGAAGGTTGCGTTAGGTTATTTAATTACGGCAAAGCCTCGAGTGCTATCTGCCTAAGGGGAGGGATGCCTTCGTGGAGGACTTTCTAAGGGAAACTGGCTCGTATACACATTACACATGGGGAAAACCACAAAAACACCCATGCAGCCAGCCTGTTTGCGGGATTTGAACCTCGGACCGAACTACCAGTGTTCAGCGACTTTGCCGCTTGGCCGCTGGTGGGCTGCATGAAAATGAAGAATGTTTAAGATGTGACAAAGAGTTAATATGATTGTGCAAAATCATATACTATCTGTAAAAGATCTGAAACAACTGCATAAGACTGATTGTGTGTTTTGCTAGGTATCTGAAGGTATGCCTAGTATCCATGCAAGTATATAGTAGGATTTGTACACACTTCTGCTCATGGAAATTTACACACTTTTAAGGACCATTAATTGAAAAAAAAAATATTAATGTGTGACTTCCTCATGTGGAATATTAAATTTTGTGCATCTTTTCCTGAATTTCATTTAAACTTATTGAATTGAATTAATTTCAACGATAGTGCATAAACCGCAATAAACACACTCTTAAAATTCACTATATTTATTTACCATAGTGACACTCTGGCACTAGGTTCACTTAACAGCATTACATTTCACTCATTTTTAAAATCAGAAGGCACAAAAATTATATCATCTGAAGAATTATCTAATCATTTGTCACATGTTGTATTCAAATACTATAATAAATCTAAAACTATATATAAAAGAAATTAAACAAATAAAAAAGAAACAGTTTTTCACAGGCGATTCAGCGCGCTTATCTAATGCACATGAACTACTCATAAACATTCTCTGTCCGAGACAAACTGCCGATATATATTTCTCATTCAATTAATTCAGTTCTCACTTCGCGGCAAGGCAAAAATGCATAAAAACTCAAAATATTTTCATTAAAAATTAAAAGACATAGAAAAACATAAAACATCAAGTACAGTTAAAAGAATTTTTACAATTAAAATTACAGTTTCTATGCAGAAAGAAGCAATGCAGCAAGAAGGCAGATTTTTCGGTGCACAAAACTAAAAGTTTCCTTTTGGTCCCACTTGGCAAAAGGGCATTGAATGTGCAGAAAGAATTAATTCACTATTCTGCTACGTTTCAAATGTAAAAAAATATGGCTGCTATAGGGAAAAAAAAAAAAAAAAAAAAAAAAAAAAAAGAGGCCTAGCCGTACTTAAACAACTTTTAAATTGTTGATTATTCTACAACTATTGCATGCAGATTAACTAAAGGCATAAAAATCTTAACCGGAAGATAAGGTAATTCAATAATTTTTAAAGCAAAAAATGCACAGTTTACCAACATATAAGAATAAAAAAACTGACCTCACTGAGCCAAGTAATAGACTATATATTATATTTATATACTTTTGGTGCGGCTGATTGCAACCATGATTGCAAATGGGAGGTGCACATCTACATGTTATTGCAGTCCTACATACAAAATTTCAGCATTCTGAGGCTACTCGTTTTTGAGTCATGCGAAATACATATGTACGTACAGACAACACGAAAAATTCTCTTCTGAATTCATTTGAAAGAAGTTTTATAATTATTTTGGAGGAAAAGAGTCTTTTATTCTGTCTTTACGTACAGATGTCATGCAAAAACATCATTAACTTGCATTCGATAGCAGTCAAAATGGATATTTTCATAGAAATATCATACCCGCAATTTTTCATGATTACAATACTTCCTTTACTTCATACAAGAAAGTAAAAATTAATGACTTGTCAGCAAATAGGAATTGAAAATTCAATTAAAGATATTATCTATGCATGAACTTTTTACTTTTGTATTATCATCTAAAAAATAAAACAGATCTATAACATTACTAAGTATAATCTATTATGAAAAAATTTGAGAATCAAATCAACTTTTCAATTTTTTCAAGTAGCATTAAATATTTTAACACTTATAATAGCTGGACATATTTTAAAAAAGATTAGAGGCATTTTATTTATGTTTTAGCAAAAGATTATGTTGATTTTTTTTAATGTCCTGTTTTATCACATATTTGCTCCGTCTAGAGGTTTAGCAAATAGCAAGTACAATTTATGTAAACTAATATACATTAAAATAAGAAGTAAAATCATAATCAGCATGATTCATAGTGGAAGTTTGCCTAAAAGAAACCTGCTGACCAATACAGATCTGAACACCTAATATCCATATGGTTGGTAAGCACTGAAAGTTAGTTATGTTCTATTTGTCTTATGCACTTAGTGTTGCAGCTTTGTGCAGAATTGTTAAAGTTGTAAACCAGTTAATATACTTTAAGGCTCCAATAAGCCACTAAAGCACCAGAGATAAGAAGTTGTTTTGTGATATTAAGTCTTAGCAGCTATAAGGAATAAAGTTTTACATTAACTTTTACATTTTTGTGTTGTATCTTATAATAATAATAATAATAATAATAAGGATAAATGAAAAGCCAATAATTTGGTTTAACATGCAGAGACAACTATAAAGGGCGAGTAGTTACAAATAATTAAATTAGATAGATAGTCATTCGAGATTTACATGGCCCCTATTAAATTTTATTTAGTTTTTGAAAATATTTGTTTAGAACAGATTAAAACACATGTAATTTATGACATTGATTCTTAAACATTTTAGGATAATTATACATTAAAAGCTACAAAACATAACAACACACAACAAAATATTTGCATCTGTTTAATTTGAAAACTTCCCAGGCATTTTGGCTAGTTTATATCAATTTTCGTATCTTTCAGCACCTTATTTTAACAAAAATTTGTTCCGCAAGCAAACCAATGTTCCAACTGTGCCGATTCTCCTAACTTGACAATGTCTTAACAATATACCTCTAAAGAACAATTTTCTTTCTCTTTATGCACTCAGTACTTCCTCAATAAATTTGGAAATTAAACATTTCAATAACAATTTCATGCATTCAGAATGTATAGTGGGAACTGATAATTTTATATCTTTAGAAATTGAGAGAAAATATGAAATGATATACAGTTAGAGCCAATATCAGAGCCAGTGTAGCAGAATTTTTAGAATTTAGTGAAGCACTGAGCAACAAAACCAAGAGATGACAAAATTTTCAGAATTTACAACAGGCATGGGACAACAAAAATTTTTGAATTTAGGGAGGCACTAGGCAGCAGAATTTAGGACCCACAGAGATTAATCAGATAATGCTTAGCATCAGCTTTGTATATGGTACATTGAAACACATAAGATGGAACTTTTAAATTGTCATTTTTCAAATTCTTTATTGATAGAAAAATTCCTTTCTGCAGATGCCTCTCCATGTGACAAGATTAGAAGCATTTTTGATATTTTCCATGCTTGTGTTCAGTGAAAAGAAGACAAAATAATGGGAAGATAAATATGTTAAGAGATAGACTTCTACGATCAGAAGTAGAAAATTCGGTACCAACGGAAAATGCCGTCGACCACAAGAGATGCCACCAATCTCGCCCCCCCCCAAAAAATCACTAAATACAATAAAAACATTCTATTCTTATTTTTCTTTCAAATTTATTATATTATCATTTATTTATATTTAATTTCTCATTAAAAATTTCCATTACTTTTTATTAAGGAGATAAACTGTAAACGCAATTATTTTCATTAGATTTTTCGCTAGGCGCCATTTCGTGTCATTAGCACATTTTTTCGAGGCCAGTAAGCTTCCATAACTTTGGAAGTATTCAACTGCATGCTCTTCTGTAGTAAGAAGGTCCCAAATTTTAATAATTTTCTTTTCAAAAAAGCATGATAGAGGGGGAAAAAGGAGTCTTTACTCGAGAGTAATAACTAACATGTATAATCAAGGTCACACCAAACCCAGTGTGTTTGAAGAAGACTTTTCCATCTTTGGCCAAAAATCGCATAGTTTGGCATCTTTCCTTTAATAGGCAAAAATGGTCAACAGGATTTTCCGTAAGTACGGGAAATTCAAATAATTATGCTTTTATTGTTCTTCCAAAAACTAGCCGGTAAATAATAAATTCATTTCAAAATTCCTGTAAAATACATCGAATACATGTTAATACCATGAACACATTTTTCATTTTGTCACATTTTTCTAGAATCACAGATCTATAAATCTTGCCTTCAAATCCTTCTAAACTTTCCAAGTCTAAAATGCAATGTCTAAAATCCGAAAGAAAAATTGACCTTATTAATTCTGTAACAGCAAAATGCCAGACATCTTTTGAAAAACAAATTTAGAGAAGAGAATTGTAAAATGAATTTTACGGAGAAAACCGTTACACATTCTGGGAATGAATTCTGAATATTCTGAGACAGTTACAGGGAAAAACAAAATTATTAGCATGAAAATTATAAAACAGCTATTTTGCTTTTCTAACCAGTGTTATGGAAACTATACTTTACAGCATTTATTATCTTGTTTAATTTTCAGGTTCAGAACATTCTAATAATAATTTGCCAAAATAGGAAATAATGTCACTTAAAATATTAATAATATGACAAGGAAAAATAAAAATATTTTATTTTAATGCTATTTCTTAAATACAATTTTAATATATTATCATTATTTTAATAAATTTAATCAATATTATAATTTAAAAAAACCTGCAGGTGCTTTATGTTTTACTTCTTGCCCAGAAACTCAAGTATTATACTATTTATATTAGAAGTAGGAACTAATTCAAACAATGAAACATCTCAACCATCAAATACACATTTGTCAGAGAATCACCAACAATTTTCCTCCAAATTGCTCATTCACACTCAAAATGGCAGCAGTAAAAAGAGACAGAAATTTCAGATGATTAAAATTATGGGCCTTCTGCCAATTTCAGCTGGAAGGAAGGACTTTTAAGGACCAAAAGTCATTTTTAAAAAAACCTAAGGACTCTTATGGACTGCACAACACTGTAAAAACTATGTAAAATCATTTAATAAAAATTACAACTGATCTATCTATGATTTTACAACAGCTGATTATGAAATTTACAACAGCTGATTAAATTTACAACAGCTGATTATGAAATAACACCTGAATAAATTTACGTGCATTTTTGCAACTTTGCTTTTGAGCTGATGCTTTGATAAATCCTTCAGACTAGTGTGATGATTTAACTATAAGTAGACCTTTGAACTATTCATTACTTTCTAACCTGTTTATCTACCTGCATTATTTCATATATCTAAAACTGTACCTTTAAATGTAAAGAAATTGTAAGTACCTCACTGTATCTCATTGAGTAGTGTAGTTCTTTTCATGGTTGACACATGCTTGTAACTTGTTTTTGACGAATATAAAAGCTGTTAATGTTGTAAAGATGACTGGTACTTTCATTTTATTAAGTGAATTAGTCTTTATAATCAATATAGTTCTTTTCCAGTTTAATAACATAATACATTACACACACATGTATATGAATTATAACCTTAACTTGAAGTCCCAAATTCGAATATGAATAAAGTATACATTTTTGGTACTAATCATTTACCTGCAAACAACTACCTTAATGTCCTATACATAAAAAATATGTCCTATATTTATATATAGGACAATCAATCTTATAACAAAAATTTATATCAAATTAATCCATAACATATCACAAATTCATGTAAATACGCATGTGTCAAAATCTTAGCTGCATCAAAAAATTCAAGGAGGATTCATCATTTCAATTATGTAATATGCGATAATACTTTGTCCTCATCACATTACTAGCATTACTTACCATAAGCTAATTTTTTAAACTGAACTAAATATTTATAAATATAAGTCACGATGCTCATTATGATTGGCCAGATATTCAGAAAATATATTTCTTTTAAAAATACAACTACCACAGTTTTTTCAAGAATAAGCAATATTTTTATAGAGTTTCATCCCCAGAAACAACAAAATTTGCTTACTTCCATTGTTGCCATGTCAACTTTTGCATGTGCTTGAACATTTTTATGTTGTACTTTAACTGCAACTTTTGTATCATCCTGTAAAGTTGCTAAATGGACTTGTGCTAATGAAGCTGCCCCAAGTGGCTCTGGTTCAAAAGTTTTGAATATTTTTAAAGCCTGAAATTATTAAAATTAAAATATCAATCCTTCACTTCTGAAAATTGCTGCCATTCATTTAATTCAAACCAAAAGCATATAAATTTGCAATCAGAAAACAAATAACAAACATGCACTAAAGAAAGGTATTAGAATACATATAGCTCAGAGTCGTAGCTAGGGTTTTCAGTGCCCAGGGACAACTGAAGATTTCGTGCCCCCTATTGCTTGCCAAGGATGGAAAACATTTAATTCTAAAATGTCGTAACATCAGTTTGGCGCTCTTTGGATTCTGTGCCCGGGGACAGATGCCCCTTCTCTAGCTATGCCCCTGATATAGCTATAGTACATACAAAACCGTCTATAACAAAATAAAGCAAATACTCATTTAAACTTTTAAATCTATTCTATGGAATAATAAACAATACCATTATAAAGAATTATATGAAGGGATTACTCTGCATCTCTACACATTTTCCTTAATTTTCAAAATTCTGTTCTTCACAGTAACTAAATCAATTACTCATATTTAGAATTTGATGTTTGTAAAAGTTAAAGAGAATAAGGTTTTTTCTCCTTAAGATTTATTTATTTAAAAAGAGTTTCTTAATTTATAGTTTTACCCACAGGTACCATAAAAGGTTTATAATATCAAGATGAAACATGTTACGCTAGACACAGGGACATTTTTTAAAAAAAGAAAAAATAATGACAAAAAAGAAAAAAGTATGCGTATGAAGAGCACATTTAAACTGTCTAGCTACTATGTTCAGATTTGCATCATAGTTTCACTTATATAATGAAAAGTAAAATAACAATTGTACATTATTAAATCAAAACAGAAACAAAACTAAGCTTGTTTTTCTTTCAATACACTAATAAATCTATTTGTTAAATTTCCTTTCTTTGAGAAAGTTACTGAAATTTTGTACAAGATATCTTATTTTGTCAAATAACTCTTTCATATTTGTCTATATATATGTTAACATAAATTTTATGGATGTCTTATATTTTTATGGTGTATATAGAATGCTAAAGTTGTGTAAATTCATAAGGTGCATAACGGAGAAACTTAGATATAGCATGGATTCAATACATAATTTTATTCTATAATAACCAATTCTTGGGGGATGCAATAAGCACCTTGCAAGTTTATACAACTAGTCACATCTGAGACAATGGATGATAAAGAGAGCACAATTGCTTGTGCAAGCACGTCAAAAGGAAAGCAGGAAAGGGAATGCCCATTTCAACAACAACAAAAAAAAAAAGGATAGAGTTGATAATTCTTTGCTTAAATTTTGAACACTGATTGGACAAGAGGTTAATAAGATAACACACTTTAATTCATATATTAATAGTTTTTAGGACAGCAAATGGATGCAGCCAAATTAAAATGAAGAATCAAAAGACTATTGCTAAATTAAAGTTAATAGTTTGCTTACATATTTTACGCTTCACATACTTAAACATTATGCTTTGACAGTACATTGCCATATAATAATTACAACAGTACCTCGGTATGCTTCCATTTTAGATTAAATCCAACTTGGTATATGCTGCATTCAGACGCAAAATGCTTTGTTTGGTATATGACTAGAGTTCAATTAGTTATGCCTCTGCACATTACCTTTGTTTACCTCATTCAAGAAATGCTTAAGTAATCTGCCTACCATGAGAACTCTTACCATTCTATCTAGCTAGGTAAAAATTGCACCAAGCAAAGCCATCATATGAATTAAAATTGAATTTTTGGGCAATTGAATCTCGATTTTTTTGCAAACTTTAATATGGTAAATTAAAAATTTTATAAAAAAAAAAAAACAAAAAAAATATTCAACTTCCCAATTTTGTTTAATTTTTTCTTTGTTTATACGTTGGAATCAAGATACGAGGGCCATCCAGGAAGTAGATTACGTTTCCGTCTGTGTCCGCTAGGGGCGGGGCTAGCGCGGCCATCTTGGGGTCAGAGCGTTGCGCAGCTCAGTCTGCATCTAGCCGTGCTAGTGAGAGGTTCGTGCTGTGCTCCGTTCAGATACTGTGACGGTTTGAAATGTCTGCGTTAATTGAAAATCCCGCGAGCTGCGAGGTGCGCTCAGTAATAAGGTTTCTGACTGCAAAAAACTGTAAACCGATAGAAATCTATCGGCAGCTTCGTGAAGTGTATGGGGACAACATTATCACTGAAGGTGGAGTGCGTCAGTGGGTCATAAGATTTCAAAATGGCCGAACCAATGTTCACGACGAAGATCGAAGTGGGAGACCCAGCATAGTGACCGCCGAACTTCTCGAAAAAGTCGATGCTAAAGTCCGTGAAAATCGAAATTTCACAATAACGGAACTTTCTTTGAGTTTTCCACAAATTTCGCGAAGTTTGTTGCACGAAATCATCAGCGAAAAGCTTGGTTACCACAAGTTTTGTGCAAGATGGAAGGCAAGAAGAGGTAACGAAGTGGTTGAAGGGCGCAGGCGGCCGAATTTTTCGACGAAGGAAGGAATTTCCAAGCTCGTACATCGCTACGATAAATGCCTTAATTTGTATGGTGACTATGTAGAAAAGTAGTATTTGAGTGTGGCTTTCATCTGTATATAATAAAATTTGTTTCCTATACTTTGTTTATTTTTTTATTCCAAAACGTAATCTACTTTCTGGATAGCCCTCGTATGAATTGAAAAATTCTTTCAAAAATTTTCAATTAAATGCGAATTTTTTTAAACAAAAAAAATAATTTTGAAAAGCGAGCAAAAACAACAAAACATCCTATTTATAAAAAAAAAAAAAAAAGACAGGAGCCCCCAAACTATATTTTTCAATAACTTTTAGCCACTTTAAATATATGTTTTAACAAAGGTAAAAGGCATAAATAATAAAATAATTAAAATTCACAATAAATTTCGATGCATATGACTTTGATGCAACAACTTTTCAGACATAGTTTTTAAATATTAACAAATAACTACAAGAAAACGTTAAATAAAATAATAAAAGAAAATCCTGCAAATCCATACAATATTTCTTCACTTTATTTGAGAAGGCACACAAACCTCATCTCCTAAATCTTCTTGAACTACATGAAGAACATCTTTGATGCTCGCTTTTGGAGCTTTATTGTGTAATACTTTGAGGGTTGATACATATTCATATGGCAATAAGTAATTTAATGCTCCAATGTGCTGACCAACTTTTATAAATGCTCCTCCATTTTTGCAGCATAAATCAAGAAGTTTTTGGGCAGAACGAAAATGAACCTAAAAGTATTGTAACAGTAAATAAATGATTATTTATTACAACAGTACATCAATATGCAACTATTCTTAAACTATTAATGTAAGTATTACATGATACAGAATGCAAAATAAATTATGCAGATTTTCAAGAATTTAATTTTGGTTCACATAAAAGTTGAAAAATTCCTTAGTGAAGAAAAACATTACATAAAAAAGGGCTTAGATACATCTGATTAGCATTCAGACTTATGGGAAAATGCCAACATTATTTCTCATAAATCAACTTTTATTTTTTTTAGCTAACATTTCATGTTGAAATGCTATTTGTTTACATTAAATAGATATTAGAAAATTCACTTCTCACCATTAAGAAGTATTTATGTAAACAAATGATATATACCCAATGCTAATAAATGCATTGCTTTAGCTTTAATGTAATGCAACACATGATGGGCATGATCTAATTCAAAATTAGGTAAAGCAAATGAAATTTACAATGTGATTTTTTAGATTCCAGTTTAGCATTTGAAAGCTAACATAAAATTGTATCTGTAATGTGGAATGCTAGATCCCCCTTTCCCCCCCAAAAAAAATTACATTTCGACTTGAAAATGAGAAGCACTTATTTATATGATATATATAATGTACAAAAAAATTAAACTGAAATTGTATGGGTTGGAAACAATTCCTGTTTATGGTACATCGGCTGACAAATTATACTGATATTTAAGTCAGCTAAAAAAAACATATTTTTAGACATTACAGAATGTGAGTTGGCAACATTTCCTAATTTGACAAGATATCACTCCCCCGTTTTTTTCCTTGCACAGTTAAACAATAACACCTAACTTCAGATATTAAAGTATAATTCATGACAGTACAGTTCAAATACATACATGCAATAAGTTAATACCAATATTTTCATATTTCATGCACTTAAACATATGAAAATAACTACAGTCAAATACCGAAAATCTGTCGACCTGAAATTCGCCAACTCTTGAAATCGGCATTGCCTCTCAAAATATAAACATTCAGTTTATAGGTTCTGGAAACTGCAACACTGAGTACAAAATATCGAAGAAAAAATATTTACCGAATAATAACGTCATAATTACTGAATAATAATGAGTCATAACGGAAATACCAAATTATTGACATCATGATAAAAGTTTTTCCCCTCTAATCTGCATTGAGGTAAAAAGCAGACAATTCACTCAACTCTTCTTTCAAGTTCACGGTTCACGTTGTTGTATTTTCTGAGCTTGAGTTATTTCACGAGATTATTTAGAGCTGCCTTTTTTTTTTTATCCGGATATTTTGTGGATAAAGTAAGAATATTTTTAATTTCAGCCCTTTTAAATACAATGACAGCTAAGAAACGCACTCATGATTTTATTGCTTGCAACATTGACGGTAATGCAAAAAGTGCAAATTCTGCAAAAGATGGAGGAAGGTTTCACTCCTTGGTTTATAGCAGAAACGTATGGAATTGCAACACGATTGTGTATGATATACGGAAAAATAAAGAAAAGCTTTGAAATTTTACAGCAACAGTGATTCTAACACCGGAATCCGAAAACTGGAAATCTTTGCACGAGGCGAAATCAGCAAACCTGGATGTTGTGTACATACAATACAATGAATAATTTTAACACATATAATAAATTATTGAAATAATGTATATAATAATTTAATTAAATGTATTTATTACTAATAGTATTAAGTGTATCTACTAATGCCTTATTTATTTTGCACTTTGAATATTATGATTTATCTTTTCTGTCCTGAAATCCGCAAAATCCTAAAATCCGCACAACCTCTGGTCCCAAGCTTTGCGGATTTCTGGACTTTTACTGTACTAGAAATTAGAATGAGAATTTCATTTCATTATATACAATTGAACAAAATGAAAATTAAGTGAAATAGAAATGACTTACTAAAGATAAACATTGATTTCATCAATATAGAAAATTATACCAATGCCAATCTAGATATATAAAACATATTGAAAAGTTAGAGAAAACATACACTGCTGGACAATTTCTAAGGACAGGCAATATTATCACCCACAGCAACTACAAAATAAAAGGAAGCAACACATAGAAAATTTGCAGAAAACATTTAAAACAACTGGAACTAGCCAGTGTCATGCCGGAGGTCATGTTAGATATATGACATCTGCATGAGACAAGTATGCTGCCTTATCAGTAAAAAGAAACCACTGCACCACAGTTCACATGATGGCAAATGATTTTTTTTTTTTTGCTGGTACAGGACAGCAGATCTCCTGAAAATTGTGGCCAGATGTATGGGAGAAGGAGGACTATATGCCCACAGATCTGTTATATGTATCCCACAGTTCAGATAGAACAGTACCACCCATCTGCAATGGTATTATAAGCATCACAATTTGACTAGGCTTGTGTACTATTTTCAGATGAAAATAAGTTCAGCTTGTCATTGGATTGTAGATGCCAACTGATCTGACAGAGTGATACTGTTTATTGCCCAGAAAATAACAAGGAATGGGACCAGTAGCCGAGATGCACTATTATGATATGGGCAAGCATAATGATCAATAGCCACAAACCCCTACATGTGGTTGTAACTAGGACTATGGCTAGTTATCTATTAATGAAGTTCTAATGTCTCATGTTTACCTTTTCTGTGGTACTTTCAGTGATAAATTTCTTTTTCCTGGATGAAGATGTTCAAGTGCCATTGAACACTTGCTCTTCATTATTATCTAGTCAGTGAGAATTTTCAACATCCTGTATAGGCAGCACATTCTCCAGATCAACACCTCATTCAAAATGCTTGGGATGCTCTGGGTAGGTGAACAGCTGGGCAGAAATAATCTCCAACGAATAATAACATCCTCAACCCTACACCGACAGAAAAGTGTTATCAACTGCCTCAACAGCTGCCATATAATGTTGTGGAAAGAAAGACATAACTTGTGTAAAGTTGTATTGCATTTCACATGGAAAGCATCCCATACTGACACTATTCACAAAGATGCCTGCTTTGTTCATAAGTATTTTTCATTCCTCTTTTTACTTTTGGACGCTTCAAAACCTTGTGTATTTTCGTGAGCAATAAATGCCCTTTATTCTAATATCCAAACAGTGTGGGAAAAATATTTTATGCCGCTTAGCCACCACCTCCCTTAATGTCATACTATATTGCAGTTAAAGATTCGTTCTTAACAACTGTCCAACAATGTATAAACAAAAAGTTACAGCATTTAAACTGGATGAGTAAAACATTAAAAAATTTCTGACATGGACATCACGACTTCATTGCACAGCTTATTAAATTATATACATTTTTTGCTGTACTTCATTTAAACATATTTCCTCGAATTTCTTTAGAGATATTTCTCATTCAATCAATTCAGTTCTCAATTTGCGACGAGACAAAAATGCAGAAAAACTCAAAGTACCTTCATTAAAAATTGCAAAATACAGAAAAACCTAAAACAACAAACACAGTTAAAAAAATAGTTTTTGCAATTAAAATTAAGAGTTTCTGCACAACAATTTGGACGGCAAGCAGGAAGACAAAATTTTCTGTGCACAAAACTGAAAGCTAACTTTTGATGCCACTAGGCAAAAAGACACTGAAATTAATGCAACGATTTAATTCACTATTCTACTAAAAATTTCAAATGTAAACAAACGGCGGCCTCATTAGGTTTAATTGCCATTTAAACTTAATAATTCTACAATTATTGCATGCAGATTATCTAACTAACGGCATAAAAACCTTAACTGAAACATAAAAATAACATAATCAATTAAAGCAAAAAATGCACAATTTATCAACATTTTAAGAATAAAAAATTAAGCTTACTGAGCTGGGTAACAAAGAGGGAATATACACACACACATATGTATGTTTGGTGTGCCTGATTGCAACTAAAGAGGGGATACCCAATTACATGTTATAGAGGTCCCATATACACTAACTACCAATAAGTATTTCGACACCTGTGATAGAAATGAAAAACTAACTTTATTCAAAATCAATAGTTGGTAGAGCCTCCACGAGAGGTATTTACAGTGTTACTCTCCGGGGCATACTTTCCACAAGTCTTTGTATGACAGCTAGTGGTATTTTCTTCCACTCGGCTTGGAGAAGACATAGAAGTTCCTTCACCGATTTTGCAAGGGTACTGCACCCCTGAATTCGGCGATGCAACTCGTCCCTGAGGTTCTCGATAGGGTTCAGGTCTGGACTCTGGGCAGGCCAGTCCATTCGATGAACTCCATTGGCACCATACCAAGCCTTGGTTAATGTCAAAACATGACAACTGGCATTGTTGTCCTGAAAGTCACAGGAGTCCAACCCGTAAAACTGCCCCAATGTAGGAAGCACATTGTCATCCAAAATAGTGCAGTAGGCATCGAAGTTGAGCTTATCATGAACGGAGACCAAGGGCCCCAGCCCATACCAGGAGAAACACCCCCAGACCATAATTCCACCTCCGTCGAACTTGACTGTTGGCACAATGCATTCTGGCATATAATAGCAGGACATTTAATTGTAGGCTTGTTATCAATAATTAGAAAATTGAGAATTTTTGGGTTTTCTTCATCGTTGTTTTTACAATCTATATTATTGGTATTGGAGTTTGGTGTTTCAGTAATTCAAGGATTTGTATTTAGAATTTTAATATTATTGTAGAGACATTCTCCAGGTAGACGCCAGACTCAGACCCTGCCATCCGAACGGTAAAGGGTGAACCTTGATTCGTCACTCCAAAGAACCCGTTTCCACTGATCTGCGGTCCAATTTTGATGTGCTTTTCACCACATTAACCAAGCAGAGCGGTTGGACTTTGTGATCAAAGGCTTATGGGCAGTAGCACGACTATGAAAACCAAGCAGATGTGCTTCCTTACGGATGGTATTCATTGAAACAATACTCATGGATGCCTGTTGAAACTCCTCGCGGATGAGGGCTATCGCTTGGTTGCGGTTTTTCCGAATTTCTCTGAACAGCACTCGTCAGTCTCTATCCCCCAGTTTCGTTGGTCTGCCGACTCGGGGCACATTCCGACAATCACCCCTCACCTTCCACTTCTTAATCACATAGGCCACTGTCGATATTGGGTACTATAGATCGCTAGATAGATATTGGGTACTATAGATCCCTTAAGGATCGGCCCCATTTGTGATACCCGATAATTATACCTTTCTCGAAATCAGAGAGCTCCGAACTGCGAGGCATCTTGCATACGACTAAAGCCGATGCTGTTTCCTACACGATATATACCGGCAAAGTCCGTGGCGTACCTTGGGACCGCAGATATCATTATTTGCATAGGTGTCCAAATACTTATTGGTAGTCAGTGTATAAAATTTCAATGTTTACCGCTACTCGTTTTTGAGTTACACAAGATACATATGTACATATGTAATCATTTATTTTCCCAAAAGTAATACTTTACATTTCTGGAGCTTTCCACAAAAGTACTCTCCATAATATAACAGAGCATAATCAGCAGTCACCACTTTAAATTACATAGAATATTAAAACAATGCAGTGTAAAACACATCTAAAAAACAAAGCTGCTATGTATATCTCAGTTTAGCTCTGAACTAAGAAACTGATGCTTTCTCTGGTCTTACATAGATTTTCCCACGGCCACTGAGAAATCTCTAGCACCTTCCTCTTCTTGAAATTACTAGCAGGCATTACGAGGACCAGATACGCTTATTTTTAATTACATTTAGGAGTCAATTACATTTATTTGATTACAATACCAATTACAGTTATAAAGGGACTGGACTAATGTGTCGCCGAATGGTTGCCAACTTTTGGTAATTTCTCCCCAAATTTGGCAATAAAAATTAGTCGCCCAAACCAATGCCAACTTGGAGATATTTCACCAATTTAACGAGATAGCCATTTAACTCAAAAATTTGGCAATAAAAATGAGTCGCCCAAACCAATGCCAACTTGGAGATATTTCACCAATTTAACGAGGTAGCCATTTAACTCAATGTTAAATAGATTTGCCTCTTTAATCTTGTTTTTCTGACAGAGCTACGTCTATTTCAAGCATTTTGTTAAATTAAACACACACACACACACAAGAACTACAATTTCACATAGAATTTCACTAAAACTATTTATACGTATGCAAAATTTGTAACAATAGCATATGGGTATCTGCTGTTTTTTGCTGAGCACTGGTATATCCTTTGATTGAATTTCATCAGAGACTGGATTGGGAGCTTCTTTTGCTTCCATCTCACAATCGAGTGCAACAGTGGACACTTCATCATACACTCACTCTATTAAGGAACTGAAACCATATAAATTTATTAGAATTGCAGGAGTAAATATTATTCACAGTTATGCAAATGAAATTTTTTTTTTTACTATTTTTTCCAATGCTGATCTAATGAACATAATACCTCAAGAAACGAATTACTTCTATAAACAAAAGATGAGTGAAAATCATCTCTGAATTCAGTAAAGTTTACTCGTTCAGATGGGCCTAAAATAATTTTAGTAAAATTACATGTAAAATTGTATTTTTTTTTTTTTTTTTTGTATAATCTAACATGATATGCTTGAAAGAGACAAATCTCGTCTGGAAAAATAAGATTAAAGGGGTTACCTCAATGGTAAGTTGTAGTGACATTAGGTTTATTGGAAGCAGAAGACTTGAAAAATGAGCAACACCCTCGCCGGGAATTGAATCACGGACCTCTAGAATACATGCCCAGTGTGCTTATTACCACACTACGAAGGAATGCTCAGAAAGCGGGAAAAATACCTTATGTGCTCCCCCTTTTAAAGGACGACTGGGGATTAGGAACCAATTGCCAAATCCTGGAGGTGGAGAATCATTATCCATCACCCTTTTAGTTTGGGCGCCACTGTAGAGACATTATTTCGAAGCAAGAGACATGAAAAATTAATAATGCCCGCGCCGGAAATCGAACCATGGACCTCTCGAATACGCGTCGAGCATTCTGATCTAGCACTATGAAGGCATGCTAAGAACGTGGAAGAAATACTTTATAAAGTCTGTTTAACGTTGAAGTAATTGGCAAGATATCACCAAGTTGGCTATGGTTTTGGCAACTAATTTTTATCGCCAAAACTCGCGAAACTTGCCGATTTTGGTCCGGTCTCTTTATAAGTGTAATTGGTACTGTAATTGTACCCTATATGTAACTGCAATTACACCTGGCCCTCATATGCCTTTCATTAATTTCAAGAATTGGAAGGTACTAGACATTTCTCAGCTGCTGGAGAAAAAATATATAAGACTGGAGAGAGCAGCAGTTTCTTAATTGTCAGTTCAGAGCTGAATTCAGAGCATTAAGATATCCATGAGAGCTTTATCTTTTAGATGCACTTTACATTACATTGTGTTGTGTTTAATATTCTCTGTACTTTGAAATGGTGACTACTCATTATGCTCTGTTATACTGAGAAGAGCTGTACGAGTACTTTTGTGGAAAGCTACAGAACTGTAAATTGTTTCTTTTGGGAAAATAAATCTTATCACACTATCATCAGTTCTGAGTGCATTGAGTTCATTACAAGCCCATATGCATGTAACACTATTAATAACAAGGCCAAGCACATACTTATACATTAATGAAACTTAATTTAAAAGTAATAAAGATGCATATTACTTATTAAATTTCAGAGCTCTAAAGAACATCAATTAGTAAATGATACCTTACCTACTACATAAATAAAGACACAGAAACTAAATTCATGCTTGTGTACCATTACCAATTTGCATTCTAGTACAAGGTTCGAATTTCAGATGTCAAATATCCACATCACCAGCAATTTGTTTAAATATTGCTTTGAAAAGGAAGAAAGAATTAGATTCCAACAGTAGCATCACATTTTAGCATGTGCTTAATGTTTCACATATGCACAGGAGATATTTTTTCATAATAAAGCATTTGGAGTGTTCAGATTCTTAATTTCCTTTCGGCATGAAATAAAACAAATCGATTTTGAAGAAACACAACAATTTATTAGCATAAATCTATATAATCAATAATATTTTAGCTTCATATTTTTTGGATAGCATACACACCACATCAAAAAATTGTACCAAAGTTCATCGCTAATTTTAAATTATTGAATAACTCATATCTCTGATGCAAATATGAGAAATAAATTTTTTAATTATTTTTTGCTTTCCTTATCATGTGATTATCAGCCAGGCAGCTTGAGAAATGACACATGTAGAGATATATAAAACAATTGTTTTTCAGTAACTGAAATACCAAACAGCATTGTAAGATTTATATTGACATTACACTTGGTGATGCTGACAGACTTCAGATAATTATGTTGGAAAGCATTGAGTGCCCTTAGAAATTTAACAGAAACTTCTTTCCATGTGAAAAAAAAATGATTTTGTCTGCCTGGGCTAGATATCTTACAGCCTGATGCAGTCTCTGCAGGTCCTAAATTTTGCTACCAAGCACCTCCATAACTTCTAAATTTTTGCTGTCGCTGAATTTTGTTTCCCAGTGCTTTCCCTAAATTCTAAAAATTTTGTCAGCCCTTAATTTTGTTGTTTGGTGCTTCTCTAAATTCCTCAAATTTTGTCTTCCTTAAATTCTGTCATCCGGAGTGGCCATATCTGTAATCATTGCTAACTATAATGTCAGCAGAAAAGGTTCCCATACGCTTTGTTATTAAATTATTATTATATATAAAAAAAAATGCTTAGGTATCACTGCACGAGCCATTACTCAAGTTGTCACGTTTTGAATAAACATGCAGTGATGAAAGCAAAATATAATAAAGAATGTTTCACCACTTTGGCATCAGGGATATAAAATATTAGAAGGTGTAAAATCAACAATATTTCTATATGGAAAGTTTCAGTTTGAGATGTATACCAAGCAAATATGTAGCTATGGAATCAAATGATTGATCATAGAAATTTTAGCTAAAATGATTGCTTCTTCAATAATGAGGTATTTTATTTAGTGCCAAAGTGAAATTAAGATTCAATGCGCATGCGTAAAGTATATTTAAATTAAAAAAAAAAAAAAAAAAACTGCGTGTTGGTCACCTTCAGGCCTGAATTTTAGATCATTCCGGATATTGGATGTCTGGATCTTGAACTTTGTACTGTATTAACGTACCACAAATATTTAAAACACCTAGCATGTTTTTTTTTTTTTTTTTTTTTTTTTTTTTTTTTTTTTTTTTTTTTTTTTTTTTTTTTTTTTTAAGACATAAGAAAAATACAAATATTTACTGAGACTGAGAGTCATTATAATATAATCAGATGTGCTTCCTATCAATTTTTTAAAGTACGACTCAAAATTGATTCATATTTCTAATATAAACTGAAATTGATATTGACTGAAAAACTATGAAAACTGACCTCAGACTTCAACTGCTCATACTGCTGACTGTTTACATCTAAACCTTTTAAAGACCATTTATAGTCCACAGCTATTTTTGTAACCTAAATAAATTATATATTTTAAATCAAAAAATTTATAAAGAAAAGTAAGAATCTCAAAATGAACAGTAGGCAAAAATAATTATATTCAAGTGCTAAGAAAAACTGCAATTTGAAAAATTTTAATTTATACTCTAATATCTCAAAGAATTGATAATTAAGAATTTAAAAAATAATAACAAAATCAATCTGAAAATTTTAATTACAATTTAATACCTTAAAAGAGTTAAGCATTCAAAATTAAAAAAAATTAAAATAATACAAAACATGTAAATATTTCACATTTTTCCTCAGATAAAAATATCTACAACAACCAACTAATGAAATTAAATCTTTGATATTAACTAACATTAAACTTGGCTAAAAAAGTTAAGTAAAAATGTTAAAAGTTTTAGTACTTGTTTTAAATCTATTTTAGGGATACACAACACAATGAGATATATTTTCAATATTTCTTAAGTTTCATATATATAAAATAGCTTTTTCTGCTAACAAAGAAGAAATATACCACCAAATTTTAGTAGATAATGAGCATCAACATTTGCAAAGAGTCAGTTAATTAAAAAATGCAGACATATAAATTACGCACAGTTACTTAATAATATAAATTATGCCCCATTCTTAGCGACAAGCTGTTTGTGGCAGATTGCTTTGGATTCAGAACAGGATCATCTTCATGTATCTTCTGTTCTTAAAAACAACTTCCTTGTAGATGATTGTTTATCTGGATCAAATAATTAAGAAGAAGCACTTGATCTATGTTCTACGTTTTGACAATTATTAGAGAAATGTAGATTTAATTTTAGGACATGGGAACCAAACTGTCCTGAACTTAATTAAGACACAATAACACGCCGAATAAATACCAATTCAGAAGTCAAACAACCGTCATGATGGTTTTGCAGCTGAGGATGGTGGTTCGGTAAAACCATCGAAACTAGTCCTGTGAAAATTTTGTAAATATAACACTGATTTTTGTTGTTTGAATTCTGAATTGGTGTTCTGAACTTCTTGAAAACGTATCCATTGAAGGACAAGACGAAAGCGATAATCAGGTTCACTTAAGTGATTGTGTCAAAACTTTTGGAACTTTACAGAAGACATATTTTTATTTAACATTTCAATAGATTTCAGATGTGAAATTATTAATAGGGCCCAACCATTTCCCAATCTTCTAAAATCTTTGACCCTCTTGGCTTACTACTGCTATGTATACTGCGAAAAGAAAAAAAAAGGGGGGGGGACAGTTCTATATCTCCAATTCTACAAGGCCAACTGATGAAATTCAAATTGTGTTTTTCATGTCTCAAAAGTGTGACTTAGAATATACTATATTAGATTTATATGAAGTATTATTCTAATATAGGTATTTTGACACAAAAATTGGACTTTTTCTAAAATAACATGCCAATTTTTTCCCATATTTCGATTCTACCATTCAAATTATGCCTAAATATTAAATTTTATAAAATTTGGTGCGGAATTTATGGAGAAATTCAAAAATATATCTTGCCACATTTTTTTGAGTTAGCAAAGAATAATTTACTTGATGAACTTCTTCATTTATAGCAACCTATTTTCTTTTCCTTTTTTGCATTATAGAAGAGCAGGAGAAAAAAATCATCGTTCATACTTTCAAATAATTTTAACAAAGTGCATAAACTACTTTTGGCATTATTATCATTTAAAAAAAATGACAAATTCCAAAACAAGCCAATATGTAAATTTATATATATCTTTGAAAATTTTGAATAAAAAACTGCAAATTTTTTGCAGGTGTGCCTAGAAATACATCTACTTTAAGGTGATGTTATAAATTTTATAGGTTATAATACAAAAGGCGTTTTTTTAAAAATTATAAAAAATATTTGAAATACAAATTAAAAATAAATCATAAAAATGTGCGAATTATATTTGGATTAAGCCTAAATTTTGAATTCTGGAAAAAGGAGTTGTTAGTTTAATAAAAAACAAGGAGATATTATAAATATATAGAAAATTCAACATATTGAGAACTAAAGTTTGGGAGATGTTACATTTTTAAAACTATGTTTCATGAGACTTTAAAAACATTATTGATGAATTTGATCGTTAAACTATGAAAAAAGGAAAAATTGGCATGTCATTTCAGACAAAGTCCGATTTTGAGTCACAATTCCTGTATTAGAACAAAGCTCTATATAAATCTAATACATATCCTAAGTCATGCTTTCGAGACATGAAAAATGCAAGTTGAATTTCATCAATCAACCCAGTAGAACAAGAGAAATAGAACTGTACAATTTTTTTTTTTTTTTTTTTTTTCCTACAGTGTACAGTCAAGTTGAAAATACTTTATCAGCAGTTGCGATTTTTAAAACTTTACTGGGATGCCCCACTTCCTAAAGAATGGAAAGACAAGTTGCAGCAACTTCAAGATTTTAAGATTCACTGTAATGTTAAAATTTCCAAGTGACGCATTGGAATCTGCTTACACTGCTGTCATCTATTATGTTCAATTAACATTTCACGACAGAAATGAAGTCAATTTGTGGTTACTAAAATCAAAATCACACCCATTCAGCAACTGTCCGCACCTGGACTAGAACTCCTAGGTGCACTGCTACTTGCTAGGCTAATCAAAACTGTCCATAAGGTCTTTTCCAGTATTAAAATTTCCTTCCACGCTCAGACTGACTCCAAGGTGGTACTCTGTTGGTTAACAGTTCAACCCTGAAAACAGGAGTTTTTGTGGTAAAACTTCAGAAATATTAGATGCTATTCCCTATCAGTAGTGGAGCTATATTTTGTCGAAACAGAACCTTGTTTATCACCCTTCTAGAGGAATAATCCTAAACTCCTACCGAATGTATCTCTTCCACCACTTTTAATGCTAGATATTTCAAAGTGGTCTCTACAATGTTAAACCACACCAGTGTGGTTTAATTTATATTGGCCAAACTAAGAGAGCCTTAAAATTTCGCATCAAGGAACATGAGGCATATGTTAGAAAAAAGGAAACACAGAAGTCTTCTGTTGCTCAACATTGTTAATCCGAAAATCACACTTTTAATTTTTCTGCTGCCAAAATTATTCAAAAAACATCTTCCATTGGAGAACTGGATTTTCTAGAGGCATTTCACATTCATAAAAATCTTTCTGTTCTAGTTAACGATCCCAATTCCAATCCAAATTTGCCTTCGGTCTTTAACCCCTTCATGCCGACTGTCACGTATACGTTCCAGCAACGAACACACTTATTTACCGGCCGACACACAGGCGTGCCAGAGCATTGTTGCGTTTACTACCGACTGTCACGTATTTCTGCCAGTACCTTGGAACGTTTTTCAAACTATAATTTCTGCCACAAGATGGCACTGTATGTCCATATGGTTTCAGATACATGTACATTAGACCTTCTACTCGAAATGAGAGAAGCATGACTCACATACACGTGTTTTTGATTATATAAACAAACGGGGAACTAAATGTTTCCGAATGGCGTGATTTATGACGACTCTTTAAATCGCACTTTATTCGCACGTGGTAGTTGTTTATTGTAAGTAGAAGTTTTATATGAGCTAAAGCGTTGAGTATTTCCGTTTACAGCTCAGTTTTTAGAAAATAATTAGATCTTGTTAGACGTGAATTCTTTCTGTTTTTACCGTTTCAATGTCGAAGCGTTGAAAATGTTTAACAGAGCATGAAATAGCAGAAATGATGCAAAATATTTCAGATATTGATTCTGAAATTCTGATATTCTGATATTGATTCTGAAAGATTAACTGAAAGACATTTTCCAAAACTTTGTTCAGAAGAGACTGATTAGAAAATGAGATGACGATGCATTGTTTGTTCACATTCCCGGAAAAATCCTCCAAAACGGCAAATGAGTTATTACGAGTTCAAGGAATGTAACGTAGGACTGTGTGTAGATCCCTGTTTTAAATTTTTTTCATACGAAAAGAGAATTTTAATTAATATATTTAGTTTTCAGATGTATAATGTTAAAAGTCATAAAATGGTGAGTAATTAAAATAAAATGTGTAAAATATGCATTTAAACAAGAAATAAGGTAATTAAAGTATATATATATATAAATATTTATAAAGCATAAGCCGTTTAAATACTCTATAGAGCATTATTAAACAATGCGTTGACACTTCGGAAATTTCATGGATTTAGGCTTAGTAGCAAAAAAGCCCCCAGCCCTGGAGAGACGCTCACGGAAGACACTGCCGGCCTCCGCGATAAGCGCACGTTTTCGCTACCCGGCTCGAAGGGGTTAAAGAAATTATGTTTTAGTTCTGGTTTCACCAACAGATGACGCCACTTGCTTATTCTTGTCCAGGCTTTCTTATCTTATCTAATCATTATTTCCTATCTTGTTCATTTGTGGTTTTGCAGCTGAGGATGGTGGTTCGGTAAAGCCATCGAAACTAGTCCTGTGAAAATTTCGTAAATATAACGCTGATTTTTGTTGTTTGAATTCTGAATTAGTATTTATTTGGCATGTTATTGTGTCTCAATGATATAGAATATGTTTAGGTTTCAGAGAAGAAAGAATAGACAAATTCCTCTACAGAATATTTTTAAAAATTTAATAAAATAAAATTTAAATTTAATAAAATTAATGTCTAATTTAAGATTAATTTCACAAGCAATGAATGTAACTTAAAATTCATAGAAAGAAATTACCTTTAATTTCAGGTATGTACTTAATTTTGGTGATGTGCCATAGTTTTTTATTTTAATTTTTTATTTATTTATTTTTTGGACTTGATAGTATTTATGGTTTGGTCATGATCAAAAGTTTTAGAAACTGATGCAATACCTGTTACATTTCTAATAATAAAAGCATATTAGAAAATTAATTATACTATTCATAATTATTTTACAAATTTATAACACAAAATCATCTAAAACACAACATTTAAATTAAATTAAACAAGCTGAAGATTTTATGCATAAAAATACTTTATGCAATTTAATTACACACAAACATTTTATGGATTTTTTTTAAATACTGACAAATATAAAAAGTACTTACAGTAACAGCAGCTCGACCAAATCTTAAAAATCCTATTGTTGATACGTCCCATTTGTTTTTATATAAAGATGCTAAAGACACACTTAAAATAGCTGTACCAATGCCCCATCTAAAAGCTCTTCGATAAAACATTTAAGGTATCTGAAAGAGAAACCCATTCCAACAATCAGAAGTGCCTCACACTAACCAATGCTAAGCAGAAAAATCAGTTTTAGTAAATTTATTCCAGTAGGTATAAAATTTTTAACAAAATGAAATATAATTAAGATACAATAACACAGCAAACAAATATTAATTTAGAAGTCAAACAACAAAACTCAGCATCAGGACTAGTTTCGATGGTTCGGTAAAATCATCGAAACTAGTCCTGTGAAAATCTGAAAATATAACGCTGATTTTTGTTGTTTGACTTCTAAATTAAAATTAAATATGTTTAAAAAGTAGTAAATATCTAATAATTTAAAATAAAATCACCTTATTTTAAATAATTTTCAATATATGCCCTTAAGTAATTGCAGTTGAAAAAGATTTTAAACGTTTAATTTAAATTAATAAAATTCCTTCGCATCGACTCATCAGCGGCTGAGGGATAAAATCTCTGGGGTAGAGTAGACTTTAAGGTACCCCTTGTATTATGGCGAAGTTGTTGTTTGATTTATTGCCAAGTTGTTTGATTTATGGTAGCCTGAGTAGTTGAATGGTATGGAAACCCTATTGTGACATAATCAGGTGCATGATTCTGGGAAATTTTGAATCATGGGATGTTTTGTAAGCGTTTTTGTGGTGTGTGATTTTTTAGACTGTAGAATGGCCGAATGTCGTAAGATTAATTTGAAGTTTTTGTACAATTTGGAGCGAAATGGGAAAAGAGCTTTAATTGACTGGTGCGTAAATGAAGGTTTACTTAGTAGCCATTATAAGTGTCCTGTACGTAGGAAGGATATGCATCTAGTCGAACGTAAAAACCGTTTAGATCGATTTGAATGGGTTTGTAGGAAGAAAGGTTCAAATGTTCACTATGTGAAACGTTCGATCAGAAAGGGTACCTGGTTTCAAGAAAGTCATTTGAGTATGATTGATATTTTAATTTTTACGTGGCTCTGGGTGTACGAAGCGAACTCGAAAATCATCAAGACGGAATTGAATATTAATAATAATAAGACTGTAACAGATTGGAAGAATTTTTGTAGAGATGTATACGTGGATATTTGTCTTCGGAAAGGTGAAAAGATTGGGGGTGAGGGAATTACTGTTGAAGTAGATGAAAGTAAATTTGGAAAGCGAAATTATACCAGAGGTAAACGAGTGGTGGGAAAGTGGGGTGTTTGGTGGAATAGAACGATCAACGGGAAGGTGTTTTTTGAAGTAGTTGAAGATAGAAGCTAAGAAACTTTATTGAATGTAATTGAAAGAAATATATTGCCAGGTACAACTATTATATCTGACTGTTGGAAATCGTATAATTGTCTTTCTGATCATGGGTTCGTTCACCTTTCTGTAAATCATTCCATCACGTTTAAAGATCCAGAAACGGGAGCTCATATAAATAATATGGAAGGCATGTGGGGTGTGGTGAAGAAAGATTTTCGAAAAAAGTGTCACCGACAGTCCGGAACTACGAAGGATATTTTTTTACTCATATTTTGCGAATTTATGTGGCGACGTCGATATACGGATTCGAGTTCAGATAATTTTTGGAAGTTTTTGGATGCTGTTAAGGAGTTTTGTGTGCCACAGACTGAAGATGAAGGAACTTCTAAATAGGGTAAGTCAATATTTACTTTCGGTAGTGCTTAAATGTATAACATGTTTTTCCTTTTTTATGTTATTTTTTTGTTTGGTTTAAAATGTATTTTATTGAGATTATGTATTTTTTGTTTGCCTATATTGTAGAATTTGGTGTTCCTTTGACTTTTTAAGTGAAAATATATTGACGTGTACATGGACAAAGTAAAGGGAGTGCACAATGCAAGTTTGTGTAATTCGGGGATTTTTTTTAAAGTGAAAATAGGTCGACATGTACATGGATAAAGTTAAAAGAGTGCGCAATGCCATTTTTGTGCAATTCGGGGATTTTAAGTGAAAATAGGTTGACATGTACATGGATAAAGTCAAAGGAGTGTGCAATGCCATTTTTGTGCAATTCGGGGATTTTTTTTTAAGTTAAAATAAGTCGATGTGCACATGGATACCAAGTTTGTGCAATTGTTTGTCTTGTTATTTTGGTTTTGTGCCAAAAATCGCCACTTTGCAAGCCAAAATAACGAGTCAAAGAAATGCTCAAAACTGATATCCATGTACCGCGAAAAATCGCCAAGTTTTGCCAAGGGGTACCCTAAACTATACTTTTACCAATCACTGCACAGAAGCAGTTCGAACCAGGTTCAAATCCTGGGAAAGGGTTAGTGTTTGCTTGGGAATTTTCGTAGTTTCTCCCATGTACTTCTCAAGACAGTTTCCTTCAAAATATCCGCCACAAAAATAACACTTTCGTTAGGCAGATATCTCTGGTACGCATTGCCATAATGCAAATAATTCAGTCCAATCAATTCAGAAGACATATTTTTATAATATATTTATATCAATTTTAATAATACTGACTTAGAATACATAAATATCACATGATGGGTAAGGTATTACAAGCAAAATCTTAGATTATACTAAAAATTACACGCTGTCAAGAAAAAGTGCATTTCAAGATAGCAGTGAAGTGTAAAAATATTTTCTCTTAAAATTATTCAAAGAAAATGACCACAAAACTAAATGGGAATAAAAATTCAGGCTGTTTTCGAAAATTTAATATGGGGGGGGGAGAATAATAACATTTAAACTTCTGACATCTTACATAACACATTTTGAGTGAAATAATAAATGTAGTCTTCTATATATGCGATCACATTTTCATTTCATTTACCACTAGTATATTTAATGTGTATTTATATAATTTAAGAACTTAATGCATAAAATAACTGAAGGACGTACGATAGAGAAACTGTACAGTACCTCACACCGACACGAAATTCTCAAATTATACGCCAGATCTGTGATTACGTTTCCTATGCTTTGTTTAGTTGCCAAGTGTTGGTAGTAAAGTTAGTTATCAACAAGCAACAAGTGTGGCTCAGACCTTTTTCTAAGGTTCTCCCCTGCTCCTAATGATATCAAAATCATATAATTGCAGGCGATAAATATTTTTTATTACGCTACGACAATTTATTGACATAGATAACTTCTAAAATTTACTAAGTAGCCTATAGTTTATGTCATATTATTCAATAAAAAAAAATTAAATAAATAATACCACTACTTGCATAGTAGTTAGATGAATACATATAATATAAATTAAAAAAGCGTGAAGAATTTTTTTATAATTTAAATAACTTGATTTAAAGAAAAAATAACTGCCTAAAACTCTTTCTAGCATTTGTTACAGGATCAGGTGAAGACACGGAAAGAAAATCATATTAAAAAAAGAAGAAGAAAATACCTCTTAATGAAAAGTGTTTCCGAGATTCTTTTATCTACGATACTTTCATTTTCCAGAATAAGTTTATTTTGCAAAATAATAACGAGTACGAGCTGCATTAGTCAGTCTAGAAACATCTGGAGCACTCAAAAGCCAACGATGCGTTACGCATGCTTCTGAAGCGATAGATTATTATGACATCGGCAGCTGTTTCTTAATAATCGTGACCGTTACATTTTTTTTTTTATTTTTTATTATTATTATTGTTTTTATGCGCTCTGCCCTAAAACTAAATTTGTAGTTGACATCGAAGAACTTAAATCGTGGAGTGTGTAATGTTTCTATTAAATCGAATTATTAATCCGCGTCGTTTGTGACTTTTTTTATAAACAAGAGTAATGCTGATACTAGATGATGGCTGCAGCACCAAATTCAAACATTTCACGACGAAATCCCCAAGATGATTACGAACTAGTGCAGAGAGTTGGAAGTGGGACTTACGGCGATGTATATAAGGTTATTTTTTCTCCATTCTGTATTAAAATTAATCGTATATTTCAGGGAAAATATAATTTAGTTTCCAAAAATCATTTTATCTGTGTCAGTAGTTGATACCAATTGAGGATTGTTTACACTTTTTTTAATGAAATACCATGCTGCATTCGAAGAAAGTAATGTATACTGTTATTCTCTTCCCCGTATTTAAAGGGCTGTTTTTCAGGTAATATTTTAGATTGCGTTAAAGAAGGAAAATTTCTGCCACTCTAGGCATTTCATGCATTAAGTTTTATTTTGACTATAGACATCTACATTTTAAAAGATAATTTTATATAAAATATCATTTTAAATTAATGCTGCTTGTTTAATTTCTGACATCCGGTTCAAAAGCATCTTTTTTTTTTTTTTAAAAAAAGTTCAACAGTTGCTAATCAGTTTTAGCATTCTAAATCATCAAAATTCAGTCATATTTAATGTTTACTACAAATGCAAAAATCAGAGCATTTTGCAGAGTAATAACAACAACCAAAAAAAAAAAAAAAAAAATTCATGTAGGTATTGCATTCTAGAGTGCATAAAAATTTCAGAAATTTTACCTGATTGTGAAAGTATATCTGATATACATCAGCTACTAATTTAAATGATTCTCAAATATGCTTTTGCCATTATTGACAATGAAAGTCATATATTCCATAAACTATATTAACTAGTTACTGTACTTGCATATTAATGCAGCTACTTTGCCAGCTTTAGTGAATTTTTACAGATAAAACGGTAAAAGTTACTTATCAGGTTCACGTTGGTGATTTTCGTGATATTTTAAGAAAATTTCCAATTTATCTTTAGTTATTGTTAAGTTGCATTAGATATTAAAAGAAACACAAATTTTATAATTATTAAATAAGGATTATCTAATACAAAAAATAAACATTTGTAATTTTTTTGGAATAGTTCTGGAATTTTTTGTTCTGTTGTTCTTCCAATGTACATAACAATCTGTTTCTGCTTGAAAAACATCAGACGTGTACAACTTTAACACTGTGTACAGACTATCAATGAAATGCATCTTGTGACTGCTTCCTGTTCTGATTTTGCAGCAAAATACTGTATTGAGATTGGTATGAATATAGTTGCCTGAGCAATGTTAGGTGCATTTTTGCCAGAATTTGTCACATTCTGATAATCTGGTGGCTTCTACTAAGGTGATTGTGATAATAAAAAAGTATTCTAATTACGACAATATTATGTTGACCAAAGACCTGCTATTTAATGCATTTTGTAAAATTTTTCACTAATAATTACTAAATTATTTATTATTTGAACATAATAAATAATTTTATTGTACAGTACAAAGTCTTTAATCTGGAATCATCTATAATCCGGACCTCAAAGCTACAAACTTTCTGCGCATGCGTAAATGTAGCGTTTACGCATGCACATAATACCTTTACACATGCGCATAATACGTTTACGCATGCGCATAATACGTTTACACATGTGTGTTTAATGTATAACGGACAGTTTAAACTTGGCTAAAATGATCTAATTACCTATTTTAGTTAATGTTGCAGATTGCGTTGTTCCTTAATCTTCTAATTGGATCCGGCGGTTGATCTTTACAATATGGTAACTGGTAGTTTGGCGACATTTTGGAGGCGATAAAGGTTACTATCTGGCACTTTGGTAATAATGTGAGCAGTACTCAGTTACGCATTATTTTGTGTGAGGGAAATGAGAGATCATGGGATATGTCATGTGATATTAATGGACGAATTACGGTTCTTTAATCGGAAAAGGGGGGAAATCGGGAAAAAATCTGGAAATTTTGTATTTGGCTTTATTCTGTGTTGTGTGAAACAGTGTTCGTGAATTTTTGGATCCCATGGCCGTAACTAAAGTGAATTCGAAATGGGTTTTTATGTATATTAATTTAATGTATGTGCTCATTTATACTTTAAGTAGTGTTTTTGAATTTAATTATATTTTAATTAAATGATAGTTATTTTGTGAATTTTATGTTTGTAGGAATTTGGTATACGTTTTAGTTGAAGTAAATGTGCATGGAAATAATTTAAATATCTGAAACTAAGTATTTGTAATGGTTGCGGTATGAATTCGTTGGTGACGTGTATAATGTAATAGATGATTTAGAGGTAAAAGTTTTTGGATATTTTATTTATTTTATATGTGGAAATCTTCATTACTTTTTCGCGATCAGGTAATTTCATATATGTTCTTTTACTTTTTACTTTTACCGGGTTTAAAGATTGAGAAAATTGTCATGTATTTTTCGTGAAATTTTTCTAATTTATGAGAAAAAAGCAGTGTACATGGATATAGTGAAGAGTGTGCGCAATGCCATTTTTGTGCAATTCTGGGATGTTTTTTTAAGTAAAAATAGTCGACGTGTACATGGTTTAGTGATATTTTAATTAAATGATAGTTATTTTGTGAATTTTATGTTTGTAGGAATTCGGTACACGTTTAAGTTGAAGTAAACGTGCATGGAAATAATTTAAATATTTGATACTAAGTATTTGTAATGCTTGCGGTATGAATTCGTTGGTGACGTGTATAATGTAATAGATGATTTAGAGGTAAAAGTTTTTGGATATTTTATTTATTTTATATGTGTGTTCTTGCCGAAGATAGCTCGAACTTATTTAATGATACTTAACTTCAATAAGTGGACTGTAATATTAACAATAACAATTTTATTTTAACAAAAACAACATTATTGAATACTAGCACACGCATGTGCTTATAGTTACCTATGTAACTTAGCTAAAGAGCGAGCAACCATATGCTCTTACATCAAGTCAGAAATCATTCATACTAATGAAGCAAAAACGAAATAACTTTAGGGTTACACTAAAGCCAAACTCTGCTTGGCGTAAAACAATGCTGCCAAGCAAATACTCTTTCAGACACCGAACATCCCGCCGGCGTTGAAATATTAATTTCAATACAATAAGTAAAATTCAAAAAAGTAATAAATGTTCATACAATACAAAATGATACAATGTAAATTAATGCACAAATTATAATACAAGTAATTACACTGTAAAAAGAACAGATATGATGGATTACAATTCAAACCTTCAAATAAACATAAAAATTCGTACATTATTTCTCAATTGGCAGTACAGCAATTTTAGTAACTGCTCGTTTATAAATACCATTTTTGGTTTTGACAGAGACAACTCGCACAACAAGGTTGTCCTTCCCATAAAACACATCTACAATTCTCCCTTTTACAGGTAGGAGATTTTTTCTTTGATCACTACCATATCCCCTATTTTAATATTTGTTTTAGCAATCATCCCATTTATTTCTTTGAATCAAAGTGCTCAAGTAATTATTAGTCCAGTTCTTCCATATATTTTGTACCATTTTTGTAGTTTTTTGCCATAAACTAAGTCTGTTATTTATCTACTTCTGTTAAATTGGGTTCAATTATTGAATTGATCGGTCGACCTATAAGGAAATGACCAGGGGTCAAAACATTTAAAAATCATCAATATTAGAAGTTAACGGTGTAAGAGGGCGAGAATTTAAGATTCCCTCCTACTTGAACTGTTACTGTCAAAAATTCTTCGTAGGTTAATACTGAATTTCCTACTGTTCGTTTAAAATGAAATTTAAAGGATTTTACTCCTGCTTCAGATAGAGCATTAAAATTTGGTGCTCTTGGGGGTATAAACTTCCATTGTACACCTTCCTCGGCTAGAAAATTAGCTAAAGTTCCATTCTGCTTTAGAAAAATACTCATTAATTTTTTTATTTCTGTCAGTATTTGCACTAACAAAGTTTTTTTGCATTGTCACTAAATATTTTTTTCTGGTTTACCTCGTTCGGGCAAAGAACCTCTTCAGACAAGCAATGAATGCTTTCTGTGGTTAAGTCATTGACAATCTCTAGATGAATTGCTTTTGTCACCATACAAACAAAAATACAAACATATATCTTATGATAGTTACCCTTGCGTTGCCCTTTGTACTTTATCAAAAATGGGCCGCAGTAATCAATAGCACAACAATTAAATGTAAAGTTAATATTAATTCTCTCTTTAGGTAATTCTCCCATTAGTTGTTGAGAAATTATTGGTTTTGCCTTAAAGCAAATTATGCAGCTTTGGACTATCTTTCTAGCTATATTCCTGCCATTAATGGGCCAATAAATTTGTCTAATAGAATTTAATAGTGATTGTGGACCATTATGAAAATCCTTTTCATGAAAATAAATAAATATAAGTTCAGTTAATTCTTGGCAGGCAAAATAATGGGATGTCTTTGACTATAACTTAAATTAGAATTCTTTATCCTACCACCTACCCTTAACACAGACCTTTTTCATCTAAGAAGGGATCAAATATTTTAACTAACTTACTCTTGATGTTATATCTGTAGACCTTTCTGCAACAAAGAAATTTCTCTGCAAAATACCTACCTTGGACATATTTAAGGAGTGTATTCCTTGACAGCTCCATTTCATCTATACTAATACTACCTGTTCGTTTCTCACTTGTGTTCCTACAGTTGTAGATAAATCTGAAAAGTAAACTAAGAATTCGTATTAGTTTCAAGAAATCATTAGTTATTTTTAGGAAGTCATCAAAGAATGAATCAGTTTGTAAAGTCAACAAGGAAGTCGTAACTGGTTTCAGTTCTGAAGAATAAAGCTCATCACTAAGTCCATTTGTATCTTGAAAATTGTCCTTGTTTAAAAAATCAGGACCTTTCCACCACAGCTTGTTAGATCCAAGAGTTGTAGCATCTGATCCTCTGGAAATGATGTCGGCTGGGTTCATTTCTGAAGACACATGTCCCCACTGATAGTTAGAAGTAAGTTGTTGAATTTGTAAGACTCTATTACTCACAAAGGTTTTCAAAAGATGCGGTGATGTATTGATCCAGGCTAAAGCAATGCTTGAATCTGACCAGAGCTTAACGTCATCAATTTTGAGTTTCAAAGCTTCTAAAACCTTTTGCATAAGTTTGGACAGGAGTAGACATGCT